TGAGGGGAAGAACCCCCCCCTCAATCCTTTGGGCACTGCCTGAAAAGCATGCCCAGTCACAGCAGTTTAGATTATTGAATAAATTTGTGATGTGGAGTTGGGAATTGTTCTCTGGCAAGTGTGTCCGTACTGAGAAGAGTTACCCAGCGCCTGGACCCCTTGCTGATTACAGGGGACTGGTCTCTGCACAGCATTTGTTTGTGCAGATTATTTCATGTGTCTGTTTTTCCCGTCTCTTTAAAAGTGTCATTAGATTATCCCAAAGTTTTTGCAATTGTTTTGTAAATGTGCATTGCAGAAGTAATACTTACATGTTGCACATCTTTCTTGGTTTCAATTTGCAAAGGAAATGCCACAGATGAAAATTGACTTCATTTTTTTTTGTTCCGTTCTTTACAAGCAGTTTACTTTGTTCATATATTTTCCCTAAATGTATTATACCTTCAGTTATTTTAGCGACTGTTACCTTATCCTTGTTTCCTGACAAATGATATTACTATATCTGGATAGTTTCCATCAAAAAGAGTGCATCCATATATAAGTAACTGGATTTATAGTCAGGAACATGATGTATTATCATAATGACAAGTGGTCGCTTTGGTTTTCACATTTAGCACTAAGGCTAAGGCCAAACAAACATCTAAGATGTATATTCTAGGAAGGTAACATTTAGATTCATTAATTATTTGACATCCAATTACCAGATCTGCAAGGGCTCTATAATTTTTAGACAAAATTTCACTAGCAGCATCTGGCATTCATGTTACAATTTCACAGTTTAGCAATCATATAATTAGCTATATACTTGTTTTTGTTATACTTGTACTGTCTTTCATAGTAACAAAAAAGACAGATCCTTACATTTTACACCAGGGAACATAGGAAACCTGAAATACCTGCTTATGTTATTATTGTATATAAATTGAGTGGTATGGAATCACGACTCAAAGCAAAAGTTACAACAACAATAACGTGTCCAGTTTTCTCACCATAATGGCATGCAAAGTTTTTTGTAAGTCACAATTGATATTTTTGCCTGTATTGTTTGTTATTTTCCCATTCCCTGAGGCTTTGGACCTACAAACCAAAGTAATAATGCTTGTGAATGTTTATATATAATCAAAGCTGTCCATATAATCATATAGTAATTTTGTTAGTGTACAATTGAAGCCATCCATATATACTGACATCAGTGATGCTTATTATGTAGTATTGGAAAGTAGGATAAATTGTTTCCTAAGTTTTCTTTATATAAACATACCATTTGTGTTATATTTGGTTTTAGGTATATACTGAAAGTGGCTGTATTGATAATCAACACGCAACAATTAGGTCAAATTAGATAAATTGTGTTCAGGTACAATTTTGCAATGAAACAGCACTGATTAAGCAGGCAATATATCTTTGCATTTTGTATTCATGAAGAAAGAAAATTCAGGAAAAATGCTAATTGGATTTGCTAATGATAATGATACTGAACTCATCCAGAAGATCAGCATCCATACTTCTTAATATTGGTTACAAAAACACCTAGGCATCTCAACACAAACAGCCAAAAAACTTGAACATTAGAAGATGGGGTAGTTAGTGTTTTCAGGCCTTGGTACCTTCAGGTTAGTTGGATGCACCTCAAGAATCATTTGTTGGCCTGTGCACTTGCTTTTATGGCAAGTGCACAGTACAAATTGTGGAAGACCAAGATAACGTTATGAGTTAGGAGCCATTTAGTGAAAACAAGGGAAGGGCAGGCTTGCTTTTCCTACCTAAAGTATGCAACGAAGCATGGGAATGATTATATTTAAATGTTAAAGGGTTATATCCTCCCATTTTATACAAACTATGAATACTTTTTGTGCATGACAGTGCCTCTTCCCATAAAACTGTTGCATGCCAAACCTTCTTTAGGAAGAATAGAATAGAAGTGTTAGACTGGCTAGGCAGTTTGCCTGACCCAATTCCTAATAAAAATGTTAAGCAGTTGATGAAAGAGAAGATTCAGGAGTTGCAGCAACTGTCTAACCTGAAAAAAATGGGAACAATGAATACTTCTGGAATTAAGTGACTTGATGGCAAAAAAATATCCAAGAAGTGCTGAAAACTAAAAGAAACATTCTTAAACTTCACAGTTACAACAATTTTGAAGATCATAACATTAAATAAAGTCAGATTTTTTTGTAACTTTCCTTGAATTTCCAAAGGGATCCTTTTCATTTGTGGTAACTGTAGTTCATTAATTTATTCATCTATGATAAATATCCATTTAGGATACATAGTATATGGTATTTAGGATGACAACTTCTGTTATAATCTTTTATCCATTTCAGAATTTAATCGACATCCCCAAAACAATGGCAGCGATAAGCCCAAAGAAACGCAACAGTATATTTGATGATTCTGATGACTCTGATGGAGAACAAGAGAGTACAAAGGACACACAACCAGAGTTACCTCGGAAGGTGAACAAAACGACCAAAGAGGAAAATGCACGGAGTAAAAAAGTGGAAGGAAGGAAGGAGACTGACAAAGCACGAAAGAAATCCACTCCGGAAAAAGGAGAGGAGAAAGACAAAGTGCGAACGAAATCCACTCCGGAAAAAGGAAAGGAGAAAAGCAAAGTACAAACAAAATCCAGTCCGGAAAAAGAGGCAAATGCAGAGGAGTCTCCTTCTACTAAAGAGGAAAATGAGGTTGCCGAGGGAAAGGAGGTGACGCTGACCCCGGCACAAATGGCCCTGATCGAGAAGAAGCGACAGCAGGCTCTTTTGATTCGAAGGGAGAAGATGAACAGAAGCAATCCTTACTTGAAAGCTGAGTAAGATTACTCTTTGTATTTATTCAGTTATAAGATGGGAGTTGAAGAAAGTTAAAAGGAAGTTTAGATATAGTATGCATATATCAAATATGGAGACTGTGTCTCTTCTCTTCTCTCCTCTCTCTCTTCTCTTCTTTCTCTTCGCTTCTCTTCTCTTCTCTTCCCTTCCCTTCTCTCCTCTCCTTTCCTCTCTCTCTCTCCTCTGCTCTGCTCTTCTCTCTCCTCTCCTCTGCTCTTCTCTCTCCTCTCCTCTGCTCTTCTCTCTCCTCTCCTCTCCTCTCCCCTCCCCTTTCTCCTCTCCTCTCTCTCTTCTCCTCTCCTCTCCTCTCCTCTCCTCTCCTCTCCTCTCCCCTCTCTCTTCTCCTCTCCCCTCTTCTGTCTGCCTGCCTGCCTCTGTCTGTCTGTCTGCCTCTGTCTGTCTGTCTGTCTGTCTGTCTGTCTGTCTGTCTGTCTGTCTCTCTCTCTCTCTCGCTCTCTCTCGCTCCCTGTCTGTCTCAGTCTGTCTGTCTGTCTGTCTGTCTGTCTGTCTGTCTGTCTCTGTCTATCTGTCTCTGTCTATCTGTCTCTGTCTATCTGTCTCTGTCTATCTGTCTGTCTATCTGTCTGTCTATCTGTCTGTCTATCTGTCTGTCTATCTGTCTGTCTCTCTCTGTCTCTCTCTGTCTCTCTCTGTCTCTCTCTGTCTCTCTCTCTCTCTCTCTCTCTCTCTCTCTCTCTCTCTCTCTCTCTCTCTCTCTCTCTCTCTCTCTCTCTCTCTCTCTCTCTCTCTCTCTCTCTCTCAACTACCTCTTCATTGTACTGTTTTTGGTATCTTCAATTCTTTTCCATGTTGAAGTACAGCTATTTGAATCATTTCAAAGTTGACAAATAGTATAGAATGTTCAATTTAAGAAATCCTTAAATGATCTCAGCAGTCTTAGGTCCCATTATTGTCAGTGTAAGTCACTGGTCACATTTGTTCTGCTAATGTGTGTATGAAGTCACTGGTCATTTAGCATGATTAATATTATTACTTTTATTAGTATGTATATGTGGTATGCATGTATAATGTGAAATATTTATATATGTATATGTTGGTAAGGATGCATATTTATATATTAATTTTCCAGAGAGAAGAAGGACAATGTAAAGGTGATACGCGTGCAAGATACCAAGTTAATTGACACTGGTGGTGGCTTCTTCATTGAGGAAAATGAAAACCCTGGCAATGAGATCACAGACGATGACATGGATGCTGCTGTAAGTGAAATATGCATTTTGATTGTGTACTTTTTTGTTATATTTGTAAATTGGATTGCAAACATGTAGAGTTATGTCCTTTGATAAAGATTACATTTAAAGTTTAAGGAAGGTTTTTTGAGGTCCAAAATTTACTTTTATTTTGACAGGATATTCTTTTAAGTAAAGGTCATGGGAGGAAGTCTTTTGATTAAATACCTTCATTGTTAAAGACTACTCGTAGATAAGGTAGGAAAAGGAATAATATACATGTAATTTGCTCTGCACAGAGATAAAGGAACTGTCAGAATCAAAATTGTTGAAACAAGTTTATTGCATTCTCCTGTTTTAATGAAATGCTCATTTCCAACAGATGAAATTGGTAACAGAACCAGCACCATTGTTTGAAGAGGACAGACCATTTTGTTTGGAATGTGATCAACCGTTCAACAATTCATTTCTCTTTCACAACTTTGACCATCCAGTATGTGATCAGTGCAGGTAAGTGTATGTGATGACAATTTATGTAGAACGTGTATGAATTTAAATTAATAATTTCACTTTTCATGATCTGTTATTACATCCTCATCAGAATCATGCCATTTTCAAACAGAGGTAACATGATATAGAAGGGATACTTGCATATCTGGCTTTGTAGTATTATTCTTTCTTATTCTTTCCTTTTTATATTAGTCACAATTAACTGTTTGACATTAATTTATAATTAATGATCTCAGGCTCACTGAGATCACTTGTCAGTTCCCTTTGTGACTTTAGAGATACTCATACTAATATATTGTATATCTGTGGTGAGAATAAACAAGCTATATTTATTACCCTTTGTTACTACTGATATTGTAATAATGAAGTACTTCTGTAAGCGATGTAATAAGAAAATGATAAAAGATTGGCCTGAAGATGGGTGTGGCTATTACTAGGGTGCATATAGGATCTATACAATGGAGTGTAATAACTTATGCTCATTATACCATGGAAATGGAAAGATTAAAAGGCTCATTTGTCTATGTGGTGTCATTAGTGGCCATCTTATTGGTATTCCATACATCATGTTCATTTGGCTAGTCTTGTTTTTTGGAAAGACTCCACAGATATTCTAGCTTAACCTTACTATCTGGATGACATGACCATCACACCATGAAAAAAATTACTTAAGGGTGGGTTATGTGAACATGCTGTCTTGGGAAAATTTGGCTGTGGGCCATTGTGATGCGAACTTGCTGTCGTGATTATTTCAGCTGAAGGCAGGGGTGACAGAAAAAAAACTTGCCATGAGTTCACAAAGCTCTTGGTTATGATTAGACTCATTTGGCACTTAGGAAGGGAGATTGGTATTATTTCCATGATAAAAGATTGTGGAATGTCTGTGAACCATGACTGGAAGAGCACTGGCTCCTAGAAAGATGCTATTTTCATGCTCAGGATCCTATCCCTGGCCAGCAGGACTGGCTGTATTACAGAAAATTGAATATTATAAACAAGAAGGCTTAAATAACAAAATACTTATTGTTATTGTTCTTGCACTGTCTATTACCATCTGGATAAAGGAAATCAAATGACCAATATAGACAAAGGAAAATGGCATAAAAGCTAAAAACACTTGTCCAGAAAAAAAAATAATAATAAAAATAAAAAAATAAATAAAATAATAATAAATAAATGCAGAGGGGATGCATAGATTCATAGGGTAGTAGGCATAGGGTACATGTAGTTAAAAATGAATTAAGCTCTTAGAGTTTCATGGAGAGAGTGTGAGGCTTCTCTGTTGCATAACAAGTTGTTTACCTTTGTGTCTTACTAGTGCTATATAAGTCTTTGGTAAGCTGTTCAACATCAGGTTTTAATCTGAGAAATCACAGACCATAAAGGAACTCTTTTGAGGTATAGCTTTCAAAGTTCCAGCCATAAACTGTTGCCTGCTGGTGGTCTCAGAGTGCAAATATTTTTTTAAAATTGATGATTTATTGTGGGTAATTAAATATATTTAGATGAAAATGCTGTACAGACCAGCATATTCAGGGCCTTATCTTCAATTTTCATACATCATATATTTTTTCTAAATTAAACTATTGCTGAAAACCACCAGTCTTTTGTAGTCTGACTCCATTTTTGTTTCGCAGTAAACTCTCACTTTCTTACGGCTTATGTGACACCTCTCACATGACGGGAATTGAATAGCACTAAACATTTATCAAGTTACCAGATGCATTCCTCATACCTTGCACTCATATTGGGTATTTATATCACAGTACAATCCACCATAGGATATCAAAAGGCATCTAGGATTTTAAATTCCAAAATACCGTGTACCAGTTAAAAAAATAACCAGTACAGTAAAACAACTGTCCATCAACCGTGGCCATTTCCATTATGTCACCGCAGTGGGCAGAGCTTGCGGCCAATCCTGCCTCTGGTCATGAGACAGGTTTTGGGTGTCGTGAGATGTTGTGCAATACTCTAATTGCCACTGGAAAAGATTGCAATAGTTATAAAGTGATTGTGAAATATGATGATATGTAATGAAAACACATTTATAATGTATTCTCTACTTTTTGCAACTTCCTTTTGAATAAAAATGGAACAGGCTTCTTTTTCTTCCTTCTTCCTTCTTTCTTTTCTTTCTTCTTTAACATAGAGAATGTGACAAGGCAAAAATAGTGTACATGGATTTTGTTTTTACTAATTTTGTAGCATGGTAGACAGATATTCTAAAATATTTTCTTTTATATGGTACATTTCAGAGATAATGATGACAAGCATGCACTCATCACAAAGACAGATGCTAAGAGTGAGTACTTGTTGAAGGATGTAGATTTGGAGAAGAGGGAGCCGCCTCTGAAGTTTATTGTGAGAAAAAACCCTCACAATTCACGATGGGGTGACATGAAGTTGTACCTGAAATCTCAGGTGAGTAAGCATTGTTACCATTGTCATTATGAATGATCTTCTTTGTATGTGGGTGGGGTATGATTTTTATATTAGAAATTTAAAAATTTAAGTATGTTTAATTTTCCATTGCAGAGTTTAAGCTCAAGATAGGCTGTTTATCTATTGTGTGTGTTTGGGGGGAGGAGTTTGTAGGAAATGTCCAGTGTGTATGTAGGTAGAACAGGCCTCTAGAGCCATAGTCCTTATGAACAAGCAGTATTCACAGATGCAAGGGAGTAGGTTGCCTGTTAATGGATTTTTTTTTACTTATGGTGGATGTTAAACTAGCAAAGTGCCTGAACTGGAGTTTTAGTCATTCTCCAGACAGTGACTGGTAGTGTAACATCACTGCCAAACAAATAGTTACACATGGGCCCTAGGGGGTGTTATTACCAGCTGCTTCACGCCCATTCCTATTTTGTTGTTCAAGTGATATTGTGATAACTTTTCTTACCATTTACCCGTCTTTCCATAATTTAGTTTTGACATTTTTTTTTTGTTACATTTTTCATGCATATAACAATTATTATGCTATGCAGTACTATACTCTAGAGATTCCTCTTTTAGTGCCCCATGGTTATCATAGCCTTCATTTCTTACAACACTAGAAAGTGTCACTAATCTCATTCGTGACACTTCCACGGGCCGGTCGCGACAGTAACACTGGCAATATTTCTATGCGATTGCCAAAGGTTCGACTCCACCTCCTTTCCAGGGAATCGTGCTTAAGTCGACAAATCTTACTTTATATTTTAATTATTCTTAGTTATCAACTTCTTAAAATTACAAATGAAACAGAAAACAATTGAAATCAGTTGAAAATGCTCTAAGTGCCTTCCATCATACTTTTTCCTTCATCTGTTGACATTGGGTTTGAATGTCACACTTCTTAAACCCATTCACGCCGGATGTCACGTATACGTGACATACCCACTGTGAGTTTACTTGTTTAATTGTTTTTGCACATAGATGGCGACACTTATACTTGTACTGCCTGTCTCGCCCGTTTACCCTTTTCTTTAATTTACGAAAATATTTTACGATATCTAATTTTGCTGCTACTAATGTTTATAACATAATAGTAATCATAATGTTTATAATAAAAATAACCATCGATATTTATAGCACTAGTAAAATACATTTTCCCGCCAATTCAAGTAAAGGTGAAATCAGCTAAGGCAGAGCCATCTAGTGTAGAGATATTTCACAAAAAAGTATGAAAAATGAGCACAGCATTTTCTCCGTTTTTTGTTTATTTTTACCCAGCGCGAATGGGTTAAATGTTTTGAATATGTTACTTATTATTATTTATTAATTGATATTAATCACATTTAAAAGGATGCATGAGTTTATGCCTTCATATTCTATTATATGTACACAAGAAGTAAAATGGTTATATAGAATTTAATATAAATTTTTGTAATATTCTTATGACCATTTAAACACATTCTGTAAACAAAACATGAATCTGTTCTAGATACTTTCTATATCTCATTTGTCATGGAACACTCTTCGAGGCCTGAATATGCCCAAGACTAAAACATCAATATTCATAGCACTATCAAAAATTACATTTTTCCCTCCAATTCAAATCACGTAAAGTCACAAGGTCTACTAATTGACTCCTTTGTGACTAAGCACTAGCAGAGCCATCTATGTGCAGAGACATTTCACAAAAAATATAGAAAATGAGCACAGCATTTCCACCATTTTTTCTTAATATTCCCCGGCGGCATTGGGTTAATTAAAAGCGTAAGCTCTTCTTAACCATCAATATGAAAGCATTTTGATATTAACCCTTTGCTGATGGGCATGGTATGTATGTACATGCCATGCCCATTGTGAGTTTACTTGTTTAATTGTTTTTACACGTTATTTTGCGCACAAAGATGGCTACACTTGTACTAAATCACCAATGAGCCAGTTACAAGTACCACTGAAAATATTTAATGTTATCTTATTTTGCTGTTACAAATGTTTATAACATTATAGTAATTATAATGTTTATAATAAAAATAACACCATCTATATTTATAGAACTAGTAAAGATTTGTTTTTTTGTGCCAATTTAAGGAAAGGTGAAATCCTTTATGGCTAAGCACTAGCAGAGCCATCTAGTAACAGAGACATTTCACAAAAATATAAGAAATGAGCACAACATTTTCCTCATTTTTTAATTAATTTTCCCTGGCGGCAATGGGTTAGAGCTTATACTCTATATGTTATCTATGGTAGTACATGTTTTCTCATATTACCTAAGTGTGAGAGATATTTCACATTATCACATTATGGTTGTAGAAGTCACAGACACACACACGCACACACACGCAGCCCCCCCCCCCCCCTACACACACCCACACTGCTACACCCCCAACCCCACACTGCTACACCCACACCCCTATACTGCTAGACCCCCACACACACTGAAACACCCCCACACTCAGATACACAGATACACACTCACCCACACAGATACACACTCGCCCACACAGATACACACTCACCCACACAGATACACACTCGCCCACACAGATACACACACACACACACTGCTACACCCCCACACCCATACTGCTACACCCACACCCCTATACTGCTAGACCCCCACACACACTGAAACACCCCCACACTCAGATACACAGATACACACTCACCCACACAGATACACACTCATCCACACAGATACACACTCGCCCACACAGATACACACTCGCCCACACAGATACACACTCGCCCACACAGATACACACTCACCCACACAGATACCCCGACCCCACACACACACACACACTGCTACACCCCCACACACACTGAAACACCCCCACACTCAGATACACAGATACACACTCGCCCACACAGATACACCCATAGGATATAGGAAAGTGTAGCTCGACACTTATTGTCCGTGGAAATGAGGGCTCATGTCATACATGAAAACCAAGGGTTTTGAGTAGATACTGTGTGGATATAAGCGTGCTCAGAGTGCCCGATGGTAGACAGAGTAACGTTCAGTTGTGTAAATTGAATACTTTTCAGATTGAGAAACGTGCTCTTGAGGTGTGGGGCTCAGAAGAGGCCATAGAAGAGGCCATGGAAAAGAAGGAAGAACAGAGAGAAATAAGTAAACAAAGGAAGTACAACAAGAAGATGAAAGGTAGGATGTAGATACTTGATGTGTCTGAACCCCATATTTTGATATAAGGATATATTAAGCTGATGTGAGATGTGAGAATTAAATCATTTCACAATACAAGATATATGTACTGTAATCAGAGCATACATACCTTGTATTGTGAAGTCATTCATTTTCATGTATTCCTTTTCTATGTTAGGTACATAGGTAAAGCTAAAAAATTTAGCACAGATATAGAAAGTGGATATTAAAGGTTATGAAATGATAAAAAATAGATGGAAGAATTAATGGATAAAACTGTGACAGAAACATATTTTCAATAGTATTCTAGTTATAAGAATTGGGAATAGCATTGGCTATATGGTAACAGTTAGGTTGAACCTGCAAGAGACCTCACCTACCTCCTTATGGATATATGGGAAGTTATTTAGTACATCATTGTTGGTTTTTATCTATATGCACACCTGCTTAATGAGGTGTGTTTGATGCCGCATGTAGACTTGATCTAGACCATGTGATTTTATAACACTAATGGTAAGAATGATAATGGCAATACTATTTGGTATAATGCCTCAATAATCTTAATCTTTATTTTTTTTAGATATAATGAAAAAAAAAAATGCTTATTTTGTCATCATTAACATTTGTAATCATGATGTTTGTTGGCAAAAATGGCAGTAGTCCGATGGTTACCAAATACTGAAAAAGTGCTTATTTATTTATTTTTATTTTTATTTTTTGTGGAAAAAGAGCCATTTTATTTTCAGATGCTTAGAGACAGCATCTGCATATAATGTTGCGCATACATCATTCAGATTGCTTTCAGAATGCTTTATTTACTTTCTTACTCTTCTTTGTCAGAACTGAGAATGAACGTAAGAAGCAGCTTATACACCCGAGCAACCAAAACGCACGAACATGAATATGGTGAAGAAGTCTACCTCCCTGACGAAGATGAATATTCTCGGACTTGTAAAACTTGTGGCCACAGTTATACCTATGATAAGATGTAGTAGCAGCTATGTGGGAAAAATGTGCATATACTCATTAGGTTATTATCAGGGACTATTTATATATTTATTTTCTTAATGCCTTGAGTTTTTTGTGAGCTGGGCAACATTTTGGCATTTGAGCTTTTGTATTTAACTGATGGAAAAAAATAAAAACATTAATAGCTGAGATTTTGAAGATTGTTCTGTGTATTAAGTGAAGTCTTGGTGTACTAGTAATCCCTTATATAGTGTGTACTGCCTAAATATAATTACTATGTGGCCCTCTTTCTCATTCATTCTCAAAAGTGAAACATTCCTTTCAGTGGCGGCTGGTGGAATTTCAGTGCTCCTCTTGTCTGACATTTAATTTTTAATAGTGTTTTGTTGTTGAGTGGTAAAACACTCTGGTATTGATACCATGTTAGGAAAACCCAGTATACACAAACTAGGGTTATTGTAAGGTGAGACAAATTTCATAATCCTCCTGGAGAAGCAACACTGCAAGTGAATGGCAGGTGAGGACAGATAAAGGGAAATGAAAGCAGGTCAGATCAGGTTAAAGAGTTGGATAGTCTGTAAGAAGGTTGGCCAGCATAAGGGAGTAATCTGAGGATGTAGGAAGTGAGGAAACTGTTGACAGGAGAAAAAATGCTGTTGAAATTGGGCAGCTGATTCATGAGAGTGGATTCCACCAGTTAGAGGGCATGGACATAGTTGAAGGAAGAAATAGCTGACCAGCCATCTCATGAATGGGTAGTCATGCTGTTCAGAGAGCAAAGGCATCACTGTATCTTCACCAAACTAAAGAACAAGGTGAGATAGAACAAAGAAGCTCAGACTAGAAGTATTTCATGAACAAGATAGCCAAGAGAGGAGAGCCCATGGCAATGGTGGATGCCTGGCAGTGGAAGCAATCCTTGAAGGGGAAGATCAGGATCCTCGGGAAGGAGCTTCCTCTGAAGCAAAGTGAAGGCATCATTAGTGAACAGGGAGTTAACATCCAAGGTCATCAGTGGTAGTCAGGACAGATTATGAAGTCCTTGTAATGGTGGCACCAAGAAGAGGAATGAGAGACTGCATCAGCTAGGGTGCAAGAAGCTGCATCACAGATCAAAGAAGTGGGGCACAGGCATGTTGAGATTATGGGTCTTGGGTAATTCTAGAAGTGAGGGAGGTGAATATTGATGATCTTAAACCTTTGGTAGAGATTTGCTTCAAGGCTGCTGGATGCTAACTGCTTCAAGTGATAGTTGAAGGTGGTCACAGTATGTTCTTGGAGTATGCTGGAGACATAAGTAGGGGTATGACCTCCCCCCTCTCTAGGCTGGAGTACTGGCTTGCTGGGATGCTTGACCCACAGAGACTTTTTATCCTCACTAGTTCTATTTTCTCTCGTAGGAATACTCTCTGGAGTCATTGTGAACAATGATATTTTTTGGATACTTGTAGTGGAGACATTAAGGTATGGTTCATAAAATCATTTTAATCCACAGGATTTGGTTGCTTCAGTGCTTATACGTGGCCCAAAATCTAGGCATTAGGCTTACTCGATTGTGACTTTCCCAGGCGGAGGCTTATAAGCTGGGTGCACAAATACACTCATGTGCAGTGTCAAGGCTCATTGCCTCCACTTTCAGTGTTATTATCTGTTTTCTACATAAGCTTTTTTCTTTTTTTTCTCCTGTTTACAGTACATGTGATATATGCTGTGATGATAATAGACTGTTTTCCTTACACAAACTCTATATCATCTCTAGGTAGTCCATAACATTAACAGTACAGCTTGCTGTCATCTGACAGTCTGGTATCATTCACCCTGGCAAATCTACTGTATCCTTGCACTTTGAATCATTCTAGAACATTGTGAGTTTAGTCTTGGGCGACCTGTAACCTACATCAAACTCAAGAAAGCAATGACTCTGGTCATGGCAAATTCTCCTGGGAGATGCTGAGACTTGAAGGAAGACCAGTAAGTATTATTGGACTACTAATTGACTATACTGGTAATGAAAGTGCTGTAAAGAGTGAAGAGGCATGTCAAACCCTTTTCTGTGAATGCAGCAGTGAGACAAGAATCAGTAGTTTTCAGCACTTTCAGTGACTGGATTATTACTGGCAGTAATATCATACAAAGTCAGTATGAAGTAACAGTGGGTAATATTTTGATCAGGCCTTAACATTACCAGTGATGTTATTATCTTGTCCCCTAGAAACTCCAGTGGTAGCTCTCATTGAGACAGCCTTGGGATTTAGGGTCTTCTGGTTCAAAACCAAGATCCATGACAGGTCTGTTGATGTATGCTTGCAGTAGGACAACAAAGTGACCCAGAAATATAAATATCTCGGGTAGTGAAATTTAAACCTGCAGGTTTTCAAACCATGAAGTCAATATATAGACTGGCCTGACCCCTGGAGTCATGAACCCAATACAAGTATTTGCAGATCCAGATGCCTTTACAGAAAAACTAAGCTATGACTCTTCAGGTCTGATATTGCTTGTTTTGTGGAAGAGCAGCCCTTGTGAATTAGAGCTACATCTTGGAACTCTCCACACCAGGTGGAAATCAAGGGCATAGGACATTTCAGGACTGCTAGTTCAGGCTCTACAAACACTCGGCTTTATTCCCTAAGGATAATACCTGCTCATCAGGTTATCTATTCTAGAGACAATCCTGCGTGGAGGAGGCTTGTGGGATGCCTTCCAAAATTTTTGTTAAATTAACCATACTTGTCATGAGAATGTTTGAGATGGGCTGGCCCACCACCTTAACCCATTCGCCCCGGATTTATGTTCTGTCCCCTGTAGTTTTTTGTGAATGTTGTTACATAGAGATGGCTCCACATGTACTCAGCCGGCAAGGAGTCTATCAGTAGCCCTAGTGACTGATCCTGATTTCCCCATTCCTTGAATTGGCGGGAAAATGTGTTTTTCATTTTAATACAGTCGACATCCATATTGTTATTATTGTTATTGATGTTATGATTATTAAGTTATTAAAGTTTTGATAACATTTAAGACAATGAAATAATGGAAAAGACCCTTTCCAAAAGTTGAGGAAAAGGGTAAACAGGTAGATATTAAGGACTAATAACTGACTCCTTGGTGACTAAGGACTTGTAGAGTCATCTATGTGTAATTACAATAAATAAACTTGTATTACATTGGGCATGGCATGTATTCTTGCCATATGGGGTGATTGGGTTAAAGATTCCCAAGATGGACTTTCATGATCTGAAATGAATGGGGAATCTGGTATGCCCTTCATGTTGGTAACTTCTACTGAATGATTGATTAAAACTATACATGTGATAGACACATGTATACAATGATGTTATTACAAAATTTCATAACTGTGGGAGTAGCTTGTAACATCTTATCTCTTGCAACTAAACTCTAATATCATCTTTGCACTTCTATCCAACCGAAAACTTATGAAAACTTATCAGAATACACCCCTTCCCCTCTCCCGTCCTCCACTTCAATTCCTCTTTAAGCCCCCCCCCCCCCCCCCCCCCCCCAATCCCTTGCCCGTTGTTGTCGTGGGGGGGCTAAGGAGGCGGAGACTATGACCCGATGATGGGGATCCTTGGGACTCAGCCCTCGACTCAACTAATTTTGCATGGTCTTTTTTTTCCACTCCGTTTTTTGTTTCTGTCCCTTCACTAATCCCTTCTACTATCCACTTCCTAAGGTTTGGGAGGCATGCTGAAAGGATGAAAGGCTGACTTTGTGCCAGTCCTGAATGGCCTGAGGGAGCCATGGGCTCGGTATTCCCCTGCTTTAGTTGCCTAGCCCTTACCCCTCAAGGGGGTAAGGGCTAGGCAACTGAGGGGTGGACTGTTTTTCTCCCCAACATACTCCAGGCTTACCATGGCTAATAATGAAGACGTATCCAGAACTGGTTATTCTACCTGTCCACACGCCATAAAACAATCAAATTTTGCTGGGTGCTCAGCCATGTTGGAATCCCCGGCAATGAACAGGCAGATACTCTAGCACGCTACACCACTATGTCCACATCATACCACGTTTCTCACATATCCCAGGCATGGATTATTACCCACACTTTAAGACCTTCTTGTATAATCGATGGCAATCTTTTTGGTCAAGTCTCCACACTAATAAATTACATACTGTAAAACTATCAATCTCCTCCTGGTCAGCTCCATTTCATCGGAACAGACATTGGGAGATGGCTCTCGCCTGCTTATGCATTGGCCACACCTGTCTAACACACTCCTATCTGATGTCACAATCCGATCCACCCCTATGTTCCTTATGTAATGTTCCTCTTTCAGCCCAACACATTCTATTGTCATGCCCACGTTTTGAAGCAGACTGTACCTCTGCTTTCCCCCACCTATCCTCCCTTCACCGACCGTCCAACCTATCAGACATACTTACAGAATCTCTCACTTTCTGCTTCAAAAACTTGTTTTCCTTCCTCAAATGCATAAATATCCTTCACTTAATCTAACCCCTTTATATTACCTTACCCGACCTTAACCCATTCACTCACCAATTCCTTTGCCCAGCTCTTACAACTAATCACTAACTCAACCACCCTTCACTAACATTTACTATAGTGCTACATGACCTTAGATGTCTAGCACATTTATTTTGCTTTTAAGCATTAAGCATTAACCATTCTGCCCCTTCCTCCCTTATTACTCTTCATCCACACTGTCCTCCCCACAATACTACCTCACTCCAAACCATTCCCTCTTCCTCCCACCTTCATCCTTCTACTATTTCCACCTCTACAAATCTTTTGAGTACTCTTTTTAGCCCACCCAAGTGGGATTGATTCTTTATAATTGCCCCCTACAACCCCCTTACTTTGACAACACCTTCCTCTTCGAATGTCACCAAAAACAAGTAGGCAAAGTTTCCTTTTGTAGTTTTTCTGATTGTTGATACCTTATAATAGTTACACCAGAGTCCCAAGCTCATACACTATCTACCATGACTGACCTCTTTGGCAAACCTGTTGCTGCCTAGCCTCACTCCTCCCTTAGTACTTGTACTGGAACTATTTCCATCTCCCCAACTGATTGCTCTGGTCTACAAGGATTAGTTAGACTGAAATTAATCTGTTTGCCAACCTTCATAACTATGATACAGTAGTACAGTGCTACCTTATTCCTCATAGAGGCCACTGTAGGTCCAACACCAATATTGCTAAGATTACCTTCTATAGACATTACCTCCCTCATTGGTGCCCTGCCCTGTCTGACCATATTGACCCCTTCCCTGTCAGTGTCAGAAATTTTTGTGTTTTGGGCACCCCACTAAGCATTGCCAGCCTGATGTTCTTCCTGATACTTCCACCTCCTTCCTGTTCCTTTGTCTCATTCCCCATATTCTTCTCCTACTTCTCTGACACACATTTTTATCTTTATTACCCACTAATTGCTTCATAAATGGTCTTTTCCAGTGTTCCTCAAAGTGTTTCTCTTCCTTCCTTGCTCAGGCAATAGATGCTATCCATTAGATCTAATTGCCCTTCACCTCTAACCCCTTTTCCCTTTTCTAATCCCTGCCTTACTCCATTTGCTCCCCCACTTTACCTTTTTCACCACCATACTATCCTTTTTGTGTTCTACAACCTTTTGATATCTAACACATTTTGTCCTAATCCTTAACTACTTTTGCCCTTTTCACCACTATACTTTACCATAGTGCTATATGACCTTTGATGTCTAGCACATTTGCTTTAAACAATTAACCATATCTGCAGATTAACCCCAATGCTGCTGGGATGATGATGTTCACTGTAGGATTGTCTTGTGAAATGTTTCTACATAGATGGCTTCACAAGTGCTCAGTCACCAAGGTACTTTTGCCCTTTTCACCACTATACTTTACCATAGTGCTATATGACCTTTGATGTCTAGCACATTTGCTTTAAACAATTAACCATATCTGCAGATTAACCCCAATGCTGCTGGGATGATGATGTTCACTGTAGGATTGTCTTGTGAAATGTTTCTACATAGATGGCTTCACAAGTGCTCAGTCACCAAGGTGCCAGTTAACCCATTCGCAACACTGCCCACTGTGAGTTTACTTGTTTAATTGTCTTTACACCTAGATGGCTACACTTGTTGCAAGTACTGCCTGTCTCGCTTGTTTACCCTTTTCTTTAATTTACGAAAATATTTTGTTATCTTATTTTGCTCTTACTAATGTTTATAACATTATAGTAATTATAATGTTTATAATAAAAATAACCATCGATATTCATAGCACTATTAAAAAATACATTTTCCCACCAATTCAAGTAAAGGTGAAATCAGGTAAGGCAGAGCCATCTATGTGTAGAGACCTTTCACAAAAAATATAAAAAAATGAGCACAGCATTTCCCCCATTTTTTGTTCATTTTTACCCGTCGCAAATGGGTTAATAGTCTATGTGCCTTTAATTGATTTTACCCTTCCATTTGGGATATATACTTTTTTTTTTCTTTTTTTTTGTCTAATGCCATTAATATAAATGCTGTTATTAGTATTGACATCATAGTGTTAGTGATTTTTGACAATCAAAGAAAAGGGTCAGCAGGCGAGATAAGTTGGACCTGTGACAAATGGAGCCATCAATGTGTAAAAACAATAAACCAAACTCACTCTGGGTATGACATGTTCATCCATGCCATTGGATTTAAAAAGCAGAAATAGTCAAAGACAGGCCGTTCACCTGTGTTTAGACAATTATTTTTGGGATGGAATTTGAGAGACAAGAATATAAAGTGCAAATCAGTAAGAGTGTGTATGCAAAAAAAAACAAAAACAAGTGGAACTGTGCATAGATGTGAGTGATTCTAGTTAGGGCTTATTTTAAAGTAATAACATAATTTGTGTGCCTCAAACAAATGCTAACTTTAGAAACCTGCTTTTTAGGGGGTTATCCTTTTGAGTTGTATTTATTTTTGGTCTTTAAATGACTGCAATTATAGCTCATTGGAAGTTATAAATATTTTTTCTTTCATTCATTTTAAAATAGGTATGGTATATCTACATCCTTTCTCTGAGAGATATTCTTGTAATTTAACTTTGTCTTGGAATTGCAACATCTGTATAATAGTACTATTAAGCTAACAGTACACAGCACATACTCACTAGCAATGTCTAGACACTTAGGCATTGCACATGTTATGGACCAAGAATACAAAGAAAAAGGAAATGTGTCTTTTGACTTTATATTGAATGATCCAGGTAAAATCCATGTATACTAGTTAAAAATCTTCACAGTCAACAGGTATGAGCAACAGTGACCCTTCCAACATTACCAACTTGACTTGCACTCCTGTTGCAGTTTATAAGAAAATATGTTTGCACTTTGATTTGGGATCCTGTAAGACATTTATCAAGGTGAATCTGCACAGGAGTGTTTTATATTTATTTATACGTCTTTTTTATACATATCAAATTACTGAATCTCTACAGGTAATCTATTTTTAATGAAAGCAAACATTTTTTCATTCCATAATGGATATATATATTGAAAAAATATTTGACTGGAGGAACACATTTAACTTGAACTAAATATTTTTCCATGAGTTTATAAACCCATGGACACTTTCATGCATATATAAACATGCAAATAATATGTGCTCCTTATTGCATTAACTTGTACTTGTACTTTGTTTTATGTACAAACTAATGTATTATATGACATGCAAATAAACCAGGTATTGTTTTTCCTTCATTTGTTTATGTTAACCATCAAAAAATAAATTAAATTTTTTTATATTCATGGAGAAGAAAGGATGGAGATGGGGATTAGGAAGAAGAGAGAATGTGAATAAAATGCTAGCTAGTGTCAACTGAAGTTACGGATGTGACTAAGAAATTCAGTGCACAAAAGTTATGGGATATGACTTACAAAATAAAAATGAAGTACCAGATATACATTCTAATCTACATTAGTAAACCAAATGATCAAGTTCTTACGAAGGAACCGAGTTTCATTTGACTGCCTGACATCTTTTGTTTTGTACATTTATGTAATTAAAACCATGGGGAGACAATATACAGTGATTAAAGAAGACACACCAGTGTGCCATGAAATGTTTTTTTATTGATAGCCACAATATACAAAGAGGGAAATGACATGAAATTTTGTTTTGCTGGTTAGCAAATGATTTGCTCATATTTAGTCTTACATCAAAGTGCTTCTTTCTCAGTTGGTCCTGAAACATGGCTCCATGGATCTAAAATATTCAAATATTCTATTTTACAAATTTATGACAGTTATCAAAGCTTTTCAACTAATGTACAAAGTAAAATACATATATGGGTATGGAGGAATTTTTCTTCGGAAACATCAGGACAGTATTAAACATCTAGGGTGAAAGGTGTTGTGTATTATTCCAGTACACAATTCAGGGCATGCTTTTTGTGTAAATACATGGATGGAGAATGAGGTTAAAAAAAAAACTTCTTACAAAATTGACTTTAATTCTAGGAATGATCGTACACATCATGACCTATTTGTTCACTTTTTGTTCCCATTGTAGAAAACTTGTACATGAAGAGAATCTCCTCATTCTTATGTATTATTTCTAATTGTATTCCCTACCTTGTTAGTAGTAATTATGAAGCATAGCACACATTTTGAAAAATCGTGTCCAATGGGTATGCCCCTTTATGTCTGCCATATAAATCTGGTTTATCAGATGAACAAAGAACCCATGAAACATCATGTGTGTACATATATATATATTTATAAATTATTGCATACCCACTGTACACATCTTAAACCTATATAGGGTATTTGGACAATTTAAACTGAGTAGGAATAAATTACAAACAATAATTTATTTGTAACATTTTCAAATAAAACTGGTTTGGGTATCATGATTTCATAACAGCCTACCTCCTCTAATCTGTGATACACATTCAAAAATAGTAATTGTTAAGACTACAGAACTTGACCTGGATTCCATAATTAGCAAATCAAAAATTTGTTAATTGTGATGAGCTTCACAATTCCTGACCATTAGAAAATAATTTTTTCTTCCCACCAATGGATGTATACATTCATGAGAACAATAAACTTGCTAAAATGAATCTAATTTACAACTAGCAATTGTAGCCAGATGAAGTGATCCACCAAGATCATTCCTATTAATGATCAAACAGAGCTTACCGCCCTTAAAGCAACCAGCTTCACTCATCTGCCTCGCCATCTTCTGTAGGAAAGAGGTAATAGTGGTCATACACAAAGTATCCCTTTTATGAAGGTAATCTAAGGATTCCCTCCTTTATCATAGCAGACTAGTTCCTTGTTTTAAAAGTACTAAACATTTTTGTATATGGCGAATCTTCAAAATTTGGGGGAAAATATTGGTTTTAATACACTTCATATTCCTTTAAAAAATAGAAAATGGTGGAGAGGAGAGGAGAGAAAAAGAAAAAATACAAATACAAATTATAGCACATATGAATCAAAAAAATACTGTGGGAACTGTGCTACAAGACACAGTAAATATCTATCTCTCTCTCTCTCTCTCTCCACAGCAGCACATGAAATATCTGAGTAGACAAGTTATGCTCGACCATGTTAACTATGGGGTAAAACTAGGAAAACCTTGAGAGCACTGTGCCAGAATGATTTAATTGATTAGGGGAAACTATGATAAAGGGGGGTTTACTAAATTAATCTAAATGCAACACGTAACTTGATGCCTTTAAAAACTGCAGCATTAACTATACTACTAAAAGTTTGAGATCTATGCTTATCTTACCTTCCCCATGTACTTCCTCCTCCTCTTCAACTCCCTCATCATCAACTTCTTCAATCTCTTCTTCAACTACTACAACAGAATCATCGACTTCTTCATCTTCTAATTCCTCTTCATCATCATCACCTTCTCCATTCTCAACTTCAATGTCAGGAACTAAGAAATACTGCAGGGGATTTGGCCACATATCATCCTTAATTACCTGTGAAAAATCAGTACATGATGAGTTACATAATAATAGTGACTGATAAAAGAAACAAGTCACGTCACTGAAATTACAAAACCTGCAAATAAAATAAACATTTCCAAACATTTACATTCGAGATAGTTTTACAAGCATAAACATACCAGCACAAAAAAGAAAAATTAAAGTTTAAGGGGAAGTTAAATGTACATGGTAAAGCAACCAAACATACCTCTGCAATCTCATCTGCTGAAGGGTCGCCGTGATCGGTAAACCAAGAGAAGAATGAACGGAGCTCCAAATTACGTTTCCGGCCTGTTCCACCTTTTTCGCCCTGCTGCACCCTCTGTCTAAACCGCTCTAATAGGTTATGCCCATCCTTCCATTTAACCTCAGTTGATTTTGAGGCAGGGTCTCCTGGAAAAGTTATTAATAACACAATAAAAACAATAAAAGGACACTGAAAACATTAAACACCACAACATCAGTATGATTTCCTATATATATAGTTATTAATAAAACAATAAAAGGACACTGCAAACATTAAACACCACAACATCAGTATGATCTCCTATATATACACATTTGTATCTATATCATGACATTCAGAAGTTATGTAACCTAAGATTGCAAGGCTGACTAAATAGAAAATGAGCTTTTGGTAAAATTAAAGTTAAAGATCATAAATCAAACTATATATTAATCCTCTGATTACAAAGTAGCAAAATGGTAACATCTAGATTTATAAATAAATAGCAATGGACTTCTGCAAGCTTAATAAATATGGGAGAACTGAAAATCCATAAATAATATAATAATCCTCCTGACCCTGCAACACCTCCAAGCCAGGTGGTCCAAGTTACCAAGATCACAATATACAGGCACCACTTTACTTAAAAACATAACAATATATAAGGAGTGATCCAGTTAATATTTCAATAATATACATATCTTTAATTATGAAGAGTGATCTATCTTCATATGACCATGACTCAGCTTTGAATAAAAAAAATAGTACACCCTGATAATAAAGCTTATGAACCTTTCCTCACAAAGTATACATATTCATTTTCCCTCAGAAAAACTACACTTCATATACAATGCCTTTCTAATAATTTATGGTTATTTTCTCACTATTCAAGCTCAAATATTTTGTAGGTACTGATCTTGATAACTATGGGGCTTTCCTAAAAAGGGCACAAAAAATTCCTAAATACAACAACAAAATTGTAAAAAATCTACACATAAGTAAAGATTATATATGAAGACTCACCTGTAGAGCCAAGATGGAATTCTTTTGTCAAGACATCATTTTCAAAATAAGGATTTTCATCAAAATAGAATTTGATTCTGTAAAGACAAATAAAAAAAACATTTCAATAGAAACATATATTTATACATACATTTCACTTCATTATGCACTGAAACTTGAAAAGGAAAAATGTGCACCAATATTTCTATTCAGTATCAGATCTGGTAAGTAAGTATTCAGAATATCATGTACCAATAATCAGGCTGAGCAGAAAAGGACATTATAAACTTTAAAAAATGAAAGCTCTAACTTACCTATAACCAGATTTGATGTCGTCAAATTCCTCCACATCTAACTTGGTAAGATAATGTAGACATTCTTCCTCCTCCTCTTCTAAGATGGCAGAAATCTGAGGGTGGTTAACAAACTGGATCCCCATTAAGGAAAATGTACTTCAAATGAATAATCTTTATGAACCTCTGACGTACTGAAGATAAAACTAACAGAAAAGATTAAGAATCTAACTCTGCCATCTGCAAACAAATACTGCTCTGGGAGGAATGTGGTAATAAGCGATCAATAAATTACAAAATAAAGCTGGCATTACACATAACTTAGCACTTGCATCGATAGATAGATAGAAAGAATCCACATTCCAAAAATAGCTTTCATACGCATAATTAATAAATGACTGTTACTTATGACAATTTTGAACCAACAACTACATTTGCAATTTTCATCTTAGGTATGATGAGCCAACCAAAAGTTAACAATAAACAGGAAAACTAGCTCAAATGTGGATTAAGTCTGGAAAACGTTATAAAATACAGTTTAGTTTATTGATAGTGTTTACATATAGCTGGCTCTACAAGTACCTTAATCACCATTTTCCTTGATTTTTAGAAATGTTCTTTTTTATCTTATATTGCTATTAGTATTGTAAATAACATAATCATAATGTCAATAATAATGATAATAATAGCATAATTACTATTCGCATTAGAAAAATAAAATTCATCTAAAAAACACGAAAAAGGAGGAAATCAGATGTGGTCATATTATGCTATTATATAGGTCTACTAATTAACTACTTGGCAACTAAGCACTTGTGGAGACATCGCTGTGTAAACAAAGCTCACAAAAGAAAACTACACATAACATTACATGCTTCTGTTAACTAAGGTTGAACAATCACATTCAAATAGGCATTGTAACAATTAATTTTTGGAGAAGTGTTCAGAAATGAAAATATTCAGAATTAATTTGGCTAATACTGTAGGTATGATATCTGGGAAAGCATGTCCAAACTGCCTGAAAGTGCATCCATTAAATGTTTTGTTGGCCTAACAGGTAATCTCATATACAATTCTCATACTGATAGCTAATTATGCAAAATGATTGGATGATAGTACAGGAAGTCTGAGGCATTTACACAGACTAACTTTCTCCAATCAACTCTAAATATGTTGCAAAATGACAAAATGGAACACTATCATGGTGTTTTAATGGGGAAGCAGAAGGAAATTGGAAGGGAAATGCTAAAACCATGACATTTCAAGTAAAATCATTTTTCAGACAGTAACTTTTTTTTGGTTTGTGCTGCTGTTTAAATAGGAAGTAATGTGCCTATACTAAAATACAAACACCACTAAACAATATCTAGCCTTTTAAATCTTGACAAACAATATCCTATTACAAAAGAATCCTATTTTTTGAAAAAGGGGAAGGGGACAGGGGGAGCGAGTGAGCAAGAAAGAGAGAAGAAAAACTACCTACCTACCTACCTACCTACTACTTCTACTACTACCAAACAGTGTTTACAAATGCAAGACACTACATGTATCAGGACTGTCTTATAATTAGCTTTTATATGTTATGAAGAATAAAATTATATTAAAGTAGATATTGATAATGTGGATTCTGAACAAGTGATTTTATCTTAACCCAATAACTATGGACACACAGTTTTTGTGAATTTTGTTACATACTTCTGGTTCCACATGTACTCAGCAACCAAGGAGTCTATCAATATGCCCAAGTGAGCATGCCTGATTTCCCCATTCCTTGAATTTGCTTGAAGGTGTGTTTTTCTTTCTAAACTATTTATAGATACTGTTATAATTCTTATTGATACTGTTATTCTTATTGATATTATGATCACTAGATTGTTATCAAAATATTAACAATAATAAGAACAATACAAAAATCAAGGAAAAGGGTTAACAGGCAAGATAGGTAGGACTAAACCGACTCCTTGATGACTAAACACTTATAGAGTCATCTATGTATAAATTCAACAGACAAACTAATTTTACAGTGGGCATAAATTCTTGCCATCCGTGCCGATTGGATTGAACTTGGGAGTATGAGCCCAGAGGAAAAATGTTGGAATTCCTCTGACTACATGTACAATTCTAATACATGGGAGTTTTAATACAAAATGCTTTGCTCAGTAAGAAAGCTTTAGAACAATTATTTTTTCTTTCCTTTCTAGTTATGGATAAAATCAAATAATTTAGTTGAAGATAAAAAGGAGAGGCAAAAAAAAAGAGGCAAAAACAACCTATCAGTAGAGCCACGACTGTAAAATGTGTATGACACATAATTGTTATATTCTTTGAAAAGGGGGGGGGGAGGAGGGAGGGAGGGAGGGAGAGGGAGGGGGAGAGGGAGGGAGGGAGGGAGAGAGAGAGAGAGAGAGAGAGAGAGAGAGAGAGAGAGAGAGAGAGAGAGAGAGAGAGAGAGAGAGAGAGAGAGAGAGAGAGAGAGAGAGAGACACACACACACACACACACACACACACACACACACACACACACACACACACACACACACACACACACACACACACACACACACACACACACACACACACACACACACACACACACACACACACACACACACACACACACACACACACACACACACACACACACACACACACACACACACACACACACACACACACACACACACACACACACACACACACACACACACACACACACACACACACACACACACACACACACACACACACACACACACACACACACACACACACACACACACACACACACACACACACACACACACACACACACACACACACACACACACACACACACACACACACACACACACACACACACACACACACACACACACACACACACACACACACACACACACACACACACACACACACACACACACACACACACACACACACACACACACACACACACACACACACACACACACACACACACACACACACACACACACACACACACACACACACACACACACACACACACACACACACACACACACACACACACACACACACACACACACACACACACACACACACACACACACACACACACACACACACACACACACACACACACACACACACACACACACACACACACACACACACACACACACACACACACACACACACACACACACACACACACACACACACACACACACACACACACACACACACACACACACACACACACACACACACACACACACACACACACACACACACACACACACACACACACACACACACACACACACACACACACACACACACACACACACACACACACACACACACACACACACACACACACACACACACACACACACACACACACACACACACACACACACACACACACACACACACACACACACACACACACACACACACACACACACACACACACACACACACACACACACACACACACACACACACACACACACACACACACACACACACACACACACACACACACACACACACACACACACACACACACACACACACACACACACACACACACACACACACACACACACACACACACACACACACACACACACACACACACACACACACACACACACACACACACACACACACACACACACACACACACACACACACACACACACACACACACACACACACACACACACACACACACACACACACACACACACACACACACACACACACACACACACACACACACACACACACACACACACACACACACACACACACACACACACACACACACACACACACACACACACACACACACACACACACACACACACACACACACACACACACACACACACACACACACACACACACACACACACACACACACACACACACACACACACACACACACACACACACACACACACACACACACACACACACACACACACACACACACACACACACACACACACACACACACACACACACACACACACACACACACACACACACACACACACACACACACACACACACACACACACACACACACACACACACACACACACACACACACACACACACACACACACACACACACACACACACACACACACACACACACACACACACACACACACACACACACACACACACACACACACACACACACACACACACACACACACACACACACACACAGACACACAGACACACACACACACACATCCTCAAACCGTTGGAAAAGTTCCTCTTCTTGATTTCTTTAAAATTTACTTTTAATTAATTAATAAAATTAGTGTTTATTACCCTCTAATGATGGTTAAATAAAAAAAAGTCTGGACAGAGACTGCATGATAGTCCTGCTTGTAATCAGGATATGATTAGCCATCGTCTAGCATCACAGATGTGACAGGACTGTGACAAGTCTTTCCTGTCGTGAACAGGTAAAAATAATTCTGTATTAATAATCAATTCCTTAATACTGCTTTCCATATTCTCCTATGAACTTTCATGCTCTCCCTGCCTATTGGGCACAACATTGAATGTAATGGATACCAAATAAAATACTAAAATATTTATCCTCCTCTTATATATGATCTAGAGAAGGCATATATATAATCATCCACATTATGGTATGCAGCTAAGTAAATAATATTTACACAGATATTATCCGTATATGAATCGCTTCCTGACAATGTGTTCTATATTTAGAGCTGTACAAATACAACTAAATTTGCTTTTCATATAAAAACTTGTGCCTTATATCTTTGCCTGTGCAAATCATTTAATATACCAGCGAGTGTAGTTTTTACTTTTCTTTATAATAATGTCCTCAGATTTTCCATATTTTAGTACTGTCATTATGTAAATATATACCCAGTTCTTAACCTTATAAATCAAAATGGTAAAACATGGAAACTGGCTTTCTGTTGACTACTATTTGACTCCTTGGAGGCAAAGTAGGCCTACCTGTGAAGCTATTTGTCTTGAAACATTTAAGAAAATACTACTACTGTGAACACTTGATTTTCCCAGCAGCAATGGCTTAAGCAACTTTCAAAATACCACCAACATTTTTGGAGTACATACTCAAGGCTGCAAGGTAAACAATGAAACACCATGCCTACAAGGAAATATACACACATTTTAGGGTAAACAGTGCACGCAATCAATAGGAAACTGAATTCAATGAAATGCCTGTAAGAAATTGTCAAATACCTATGGACAGATAGATTTATCTAACTGTTATGGTCTGCATTTCTATTGCCTTTATTTCTTATAAATATAAAAAAAAAGGCCAACTTTGGAGGTATAAGATGTATAAGCAGATGTATAGCAAGCAATACACTCATACTGCCTTGCCCTTTCAGAAACTTTGTCTAAAGCCCAAACCTCCCATCATCTTGATACCCAATGAAGTGCTAAAAAGTCAATTGTCCTCTCAGAGCTACCATTCCCTCAGAAAGGTTAAACAACAGTACATGTGTCAGATTTCCAATATGGGATTAAGTAATGCAACAGATCTAAGATATCAAAAAAAAGAAAAGAAAAAAAAAAAGTAGTTAATGAGAACAATCAAATCATATAAAGGAGTATGTAGAATCTAAAATATCATATCCACTGCAACAGATTCACTTTGAATAAATCTTTTTACAATATCATCTAAGTATCCTACACAAGATAATTTTATCAACATAACTGAAATTCCCATATATAAAACCTGAAACAATTTTTCACAATACTTTTGTGTAACTGATCGCAACAATATTGGTATCAATGGATTACTCTCACCCTCTCGTACACACATTAAGGAATTATGCTATAACACCCTAAACCCTCCCATCCTTAGGCCGGGCCATAGCCTGAAGGCCCAGGCGAAGCTAGAACTTCACAAATCGCAATCAATCAATCAATATTACATTCTTAACCCCGACAGTTAGGGAGAGCATGAAAGGTACCAGGGAAATAGCAGGGTAAACTAACAATATAACAATGAAAATAATAACTCACAATACTGCTGAATGCAGGGGGTTGTGTCCTTGTGAATCCCCTAACCCCCGCCCATAAGAATAAAGACTCCTCCATGTATGTACAACTGGATAGAGGGCAGGACACACTACATTGGGCACAAACGCATATTGGTTTTATGCTCTACCCTGCCGTAAATATGAAGAGGATTCTTTGTCTTCCAATGTGGGAGGGAGTCACAGACAATATAGGGACTGATTCAGAGAATATTACTTATATTTTACCCTACAATTTCCCAGGTACCTTTCATACCCTTCCCTACTATTGAGGCCTAAATTGTTACTATATGGGGTGAGAGGAATCCACTGATACCAAAATCATCAAAATTTACCTGTAATAGGCAAAATAACCAAAAATAAGATGCTTTTCATCTATGGTATTTCTTTTGCGAATTGAGCAACATGTAATACTTTGGTACACATTTACAAAATGTAATGGCACTATAATAATCAAAGATTAAAACTACGCTCACTAATACATGAAATAATCTGCATGGGCAAAAAATGAGCAAATGCTGCTTAGTGAGTAAGTTCATGGTGATCAAGTGGGGTCAGGGGATGGAGTCCCTGATAGGAAATACACAATAAGGGACCAGGGGCAAAGCCCCAGCTTAGGAAGGTTTTTGGTTCATACAGCAATGTTTGTGGATTTCCCTGGAATGGATGGAGTAATAGGGGCACTATGTAAACATTACCAATATTTTCACTTATATCACTTGCAATGGAAAATAACAAGATTCAAGTATATTACAGTATTGATAACTGCAAGGAATAATGGTTACTGTTACCGACACACAGAGATATGGGCAAATAGATACTACCATCTTACAAGGCATAAAAAATAGATTAATAAACAGCGCAGGTACAGCTGCAGTGGCCTTGTATTTACTGTGAAATGACAAAAATATTCACTGCACATCACTGCTCAGATACAAAGTCCACAACACCCTCATGCAGCCACAGTTCATGTCCTGTTTTCTTTAAGGGCTAATAAGGGAAGGGGGGGGGGTAGAGAAGGGGGTTGCCGCCCTGTCTAAGGAATAAATAGAAGGTAGGAAAGGTTAGGTGTGGATTTTGAGTTTGCATGATAACTTGGAGCATGCATTGTTCTCGGTAACAAATGTTAAAATAATAATTGCAAGATTGGATGGCTGTGTGAACCTAAAAAAAAAACTTACTCAAACTCCTAGAGCATCATCAAACTATCTTGAATGCATGATTATGGCTACCTAGCTCAGCAATATACTTTCTGCTCATGTGCATTTTTTGTGAACCTATAAACACTCCTTCAAGCATCAACCAAAGACAACAAACAGAAGGAAAGAATGACACTGAGATATCATACAGTACCAAAACCTCATAATTAGAAAAGCTTTCAGCAGATACACATACTAAGCACACAGCCACTAACCAAACCCTCTAAGACACACTAAACATGCAGACCGAGCATGGCTTCCTCATGGCACCAGAAACACATGGCATTCTTCACTGCCCAAGACTATGATACTACACAAAACTTAATATATACATTAACGGTGCTATTTCTAGTTTCTGCAATCCCTGAAAGGCACAATTCAACATGCATTGCAACAGAAGAGACTCCATGTAGAGGCGAGGGCATTCACACGAGGACCTAGGCTGGAGGAGCTTCCTTCGGCCCGAGAGGCTTGTGTTTATCTGATTTAACTCTAAAAAAAGGATACCGCCGTGACCCAGAAGTTGGGGATCCTCTGGATGATTTTACTGCGATGCTCGAAGCTGGGTTTTCTGAGTTTGTTGTACTTCTGTTCTACCTTCAGGATTTCCTCGCTCGCCTTCTCGTTAAGTTGATCAATCTCATTTTGACACATGTCTATCTCCTCCAGGGCTTTCTGGGTCTCGGGGTCGTACTCGCGGCCCTCGTGGGCTTCCTCCGGGTGCTCTAGCTTTCTCATCTTCGCCGGAGAGGCCCCTGTGTCTGACATTTTGGAGGAAATTAACAGCACAACGTTCCTGCACGAGGGTCGCGGCCACACACTGTAAACACAACACAGCCAAAGCCCGGCCAAAATGGACGCCAGCCGCATCCGCCCGCGTGATTGGTCGAGAGCCCTCCCTCGGACGACGTGATTGGTCGAGAAGCGGCACTCCGACGACGCGATTGGTCGAGAGCCTACCCACTGACAACGACGTGCAGTCTCTCCGCCAATCAGAAACCTTCGCGCTACTCGCTCAATCTGAGAATCCGTTTTGCCTAAACCGGAGCCACATTTTCACGTTATCCGGTTCCTTTTTTTTCGTACTTGTATGAGTTTTGGATTTTATTTTGACCTCATGCTTTGGTAAATCGACTATCTAATCATTAGATTTGTCTTAGAATAAGTATTTAAAGATCCTAGTCAATATAACATAAACCATATAAGAGAACCCACGCTCTTTTGTAATAATCTATGGCGTGTCATAATTTAACCAAATTTCTGTAGAATTATTCGATTCTACGATATCATAACTCATAATCAAATTCAGTCCAGCCAAAAAAATGTCATATCATAGCTATACTGACAAGCACATCGTAAAACAGGAAAAAGTATTGGATACGTTCTAGACACAACAGCGTCAGCGAATATGCACGCTAAGCCAGAATTCATTCTAATTTATGAAGGCGCGAAAATTGATTAATTCAAAGCTACAAATATGAAATATGACTTAAATTTCCTAGATTAGATTTTACATAATCGTTATAAATTTTGCCAACAAAAGAAGAAAATCTCATACATACGGGATAAAGACAAATGTGAGAGAACAAGAAATAAGCTAAATGAAAAATAATATGAAACAGCCTCGGTTATTTCCCTTAGACGTTTGAATAAGCCACATATAATATATATATCACGCTTATACACAATATTTGTTCAAGAATATGATTGAATAAGAGATACTTGTATCTTCGCAGACACGGCTTTATATTCAAAACATGAAAGGTCGATATTCAATTAGCATAGAATAAAGTAAACTACGTGTAAAATATATCTATCTACTGTAAACGAGTAAAAAAATATATATAAATGTATGAGAAAGGCCTGCTTCATTTTCATGCAAAAATAGAAAAATTACCATAACTGATTTCTCTGTAGAAGTAGTAGAGTAAATCAATAATAGGAACCATTAAGCACACACTCAAGCACATTCCAATTCTCATATAATTCCATGTATGCAAATCAACTATAATCAACTATGCACACCCATACAGATACATATTTTTTGTGTGTTTGCTCTGTCTGTTTTTTTTTTTTTTTTTTTTTTTTTAAACTGTATTGTTTATAGGAATCATAGGGTGAATTTTACTTTCAATATGGGAGTCATTTTCCTTTTTTGTATCTAAAACTTTATTCCCCAACTGTCTAAATCTTAATATATATAAACTAAAGTGAAGAAATAGTAGTAATAATAGAAACAAACAGCCATAATAAAACAATCCCAGGAACAGAATAAACAGAAGATTTCAAGCACCTTTGAGGTTAATCACATAATTTGAGTCATACTAATATTTTATTTCTTATGTACACTTTGTGAGTTACACATCACGAATAGTTCAAACATCTTAAAACTTAACAATCGCGAAATGCGAGAAGTGTAAAAATAGTGAAGATGCACACCGTGAAGGAAGCCATTGCAGGCCTATCCCATAAAGATGCTGAAATAACCAAAGTTCAAAAAAAAAAATAAGAATAGAAGGAAATAATAACAAAGCACTGAAGGGAGACATATACAGACAACGGAAGAGTACGTTCTTTGTAGTCCTTTCCTCATGTACAATAAGCAATCTCTTGCCGAGGAAAATTTTGTTATCGAGGTTAAGCTTTGGGACAGCATAGCAGCAAACCCAAATTAGGAACCCAGCAATAGGAAAACTTTGAAGACCTCAATGTAAGTTGTCTTTGTAGTTTTGCAAAAAAAAAATATAAGTGACAGGCAATGGAGGAGTACGAGAAGTGAAAAATAATAAACTTAACAAACTTTACCTTCTGTAATTGCATAATAAAAAAAAAAAAAAAAAAAAAAAAAAAAAAAATATATATATATATATATATATATATATAAAATCAAAACACATAGGAAGAAAGAAGACATGAACTTTGGGTGAGATCATACTTCATATTCACAGAAGAAATGTACAAAAATATACACAGGGAATACATCAAATCCAAATAAATTAAGAAGTAAAACAGTACAACAGTGGCAATTCAGTACCATTGCCAGATGCTTAAAATCCCTAACAATATTGTGTCACATACACCAAGGGGTTGCTCTGACAGATGGAATGCCGAAGGTTTTTCGTTTTTTTTTTTTCATTCTTTTTTCCATCTGCTGGCTTAAATGGACCTCTCCCATTTCTTTTCCGCATGAATACCTACATAAACCGAAGGGTATAAAAATGATAAAAATGCTGTGCACATAGAATGCTTGTCCTCATCTACATATATTTGTGTACTTCCTTACATACATTAACTTTACTTGAAAAGAAAAGAAAAGAAAAGAAAAGAAAAGAAAAGAAAAGAAAAGAAAAGAAAAGAAAAGAAAAGAAAAGAAAAGAAAAGAAAAGAAAAGAAAAGAAAAGAAAAGAAAAGAAAAGAAAAGAAAAGAAAAGAAAAGAAAAGAAAAGAAAAGAAAAGAAAAGAAAAGAAAAGAAAAGAAAAGAAAAGAAAAGAAAAGAAAAGAAAAGAAAAGAAAAGAAAAGAAAAGAAAAGAAAAGAAAAGAAAAGAAAAAGAAAAAGAAAAAGAAAAAGAAAAAGAAAAAGAAAAAGAAAAAGAAAAAGAAAAAGAAAAAGAAAAAGAAAAAGAAAAAAGGAAAAGAAAACAAGAAAAGAAAAAAAGAAAAGAAAAATATAATATATAATATATAAATATAAATATATACATATATAATAATAATAATGATAATGATAATAATATTAATAATAATAATAATAATAATAATAATAATAATAATAAAAGAAAAGAAACATAAGCCTTGACAAAAATATGAAAAGAGAACTGCTAAGATTCCATTTTAACCCTTTAATGCTACAGCTCAAGATTCTGTTCCTTAAGTAGATACACAGCAGTGATAAAAAAAAAGAAAGTGTGTATGTGTGTTTACATAATGCTCTTTAGTTATTACAATGAATACCAATATTAAATGCTCGAAGCCATATTGCAGAATTTAGAAAACACCCACACATGAAATAAAGGAGACTGGTGGTAAGGATGGGGGCAAAAGAAAGAACATAATAAATAATGATGATGAAAGAAGGGAAATAATAATAATAGTAATAATACCAACAACAACAACATTACCAATAATGTAGTAAAATCATAATAGAAATGACAACTAAAAGTATATAACAGTGGTATTAGTTTCATCATTTAACATATGGTGTCCTTGCAGAGATGAATTAGAACTTTAATATACATATCTTAAAGAATTTTCATGAATATTATACCAATTACTTCCACATGCAGAGTGAAATTGTGCATACATCAATGTAATTACTGCCAACTGTCTGTGCTAAAAAATAAAATCTACTATTCCCAAGAGTATTTTGTAAGAACTTGTCATGGCTAATTTACCACTTCCTTGATGCTTAGACAATGAAAGGAGAAAAATAAAGTAGACTATGATAAAATGAATCTGTGGGGTAAAAACAACTATTTGGGTGTCCTACAGAAGGCTTTTAATGTTTCTCTGAAGTAAAATAATATAAAAAATGTAATCACTTTGCTGATTCTACATGACAAGGATTTTTTTTTTAAATACAAATACATCCATAACTCTGTGTTACTTGAAATATTATGCTTACATGCATAATAATACTCATAAAAACTGTAAACAAGAAAGGAAAAAAATAAAATTACTGTAACAATTCTTTTGTCATTAGCAAATACACTATCATTAAAAAAAATAATGATTATCATCATCATTGATGTTGTTGTTGTTGTTGTTGTCTTTAAAACATTACAATAACAGTTAGTAAAAGACAGTAATAAAAATAAAGAAATCAAATTACTCAAGGAAAGACAGAAAATTCATATAAGTGATTCTACAGTACAGAATTTTATACTATATTCTAAAATGCTATAACATCTGATAAATTCTCTGCCCCTGGCCCCCTACTAAGGTTCCATATTTTGTACTACTGTAAAAAAAGGGTTGGGGATATCAATAAAATGCCTTCAGAAATACAGTGGAAAGTGTCAAACCCTAATCTAAACTTAACTGCAGAATTATTTTTAAGTACCTTTGCCTCCAGTAAATTATGCTTTAAAAAAATGAAATGCATAAATGTATTGTATTGGATTTACAAGGTAAAACAAACAAACAAAGAAACACAAACACACACATACACACACTTAAATGCACATGCACTATGTCTGCATGTGTAAATTTATTAACACAAATACCTTTGCATACATGCTTCTTCTCTCTCTCTCTCTCTCTCTTACACTCACTCACTCTATATGGTTCCCTGCCTCCTGGCAGATATTATAGCTCCAAGGAATTAGACTAAGATTTTTAGTGTGACCTTATACTGACTGCAGTTACTTGCTTTTGAGCCCTTTATGTCAATTTAAGTTGTCTTACAAGAATTACATTCACTTAAAAAAATTATCATAACTGTAAAATTATATACTTGTACCTGAACTAATTTCTATTTTTAAAAAAATATTAGTTCCACATCATAATCACCGAGTCCCAAATTTGGTATTTTCAAGGCAAATGCTACCACTGCAGTAGCCTGTGGTATTTCTTATAGTCTGAATATAAAAAACTATACTGGGTATATGAAGGTCAACAGCTAGTGACTGCAGTCAGGCAAGTTTGAGTGCACTAATTTCAAGGTCTGTGTATTATTCCCCACAAAAAATGTTTATAAGGGAGATAATAATCAAATACTCTTGAAAAATAAAGCCAACCACCAGACAGATGATCATACTAGATATGCTAATGTTTATTTATATCTATACACTCCATTAATTTATTTTCCTCATTTCATGAATAAATAAATCATAGACTACAGTGTTTCTCTAAATATATTTTGTTGATTTACATTGCACATCTAGTGTGTGTGCAGAGCCACACACATACACACTCCCAAACAAAGATGCATGTCAAATAAGAACAAGAAACTGAAAAAAGAAATGTGAATTGCATTGACACACCAAATATTGTTTCAGTTCAGAATTCTGGAATATTCTATAAGGCCTCAGCACCAATTTTAGATATTGGAGACACTGAAGTATATAACCAATCCAATATATCCCTCGTGTCAGCAAACAATTATGTGTACTTCAAAGAGACTTGTACTATCTTCCATTTCTCGATCATAGCAATGCACTCATGCCAGCAATAGGAAGCAAGGGAGATCATATTTTTTTCTTTTCACCAGCTATATATATATCTATATATATATACCTTTTTTTTTATTTTTATTTTACCCATTTTCTTAAATATAGGTTCTGAGAAGACCGAACTGTCATGTAATGTGAACTAGGAAAAGAAAATTAGAGTATTTCTATGAATGCTAAATAAAACCAGGGCTTAAAGAAGCTGAAGCACTATACACAAAATTCACATTTCTCAAAAGATACAGATACAGTCATATACTACCTGCTTTTATTCAACCTTTCTGAATTTAGGGCAAGGGGAAAAAAGAAAAAGAAATAAAAGAAAAAAGTAAGAAAAAGAAAAACATATAAACAAAGTTTTACGTATTTCTTAAACAAAAATTATGGTCTCATATTGTGAAATTCTTTGGTAAACAAGAATAATTATGTAGACACTTTAAAGGTTCTACACAATCCGTTTCAATACTGAAATAAATCTTTCTTTAGGCTGTAAAGGGGCAGGTAGAATATGCACAAGAAACACTGAAGAAGTCCCAATCACTCACCTTATTGGCAGTCTATGATACTAATTTACAGAGCAATTAGACTAATAGTTTCTGGTTTAATACTTGTAAGCAATACATACCAACTTTTCTTTATCAAGAATTGCACTATGCCTGTGGATGTGCGTGTTAGAAATATTCAGCTTCAGATAATAATGTCAAGTTTAACAAAAACATATTCATTTTACAATGCATTTTACAACTAAGCCAACAAGAGCCACTGAACATCACTACAACTGGTGAAATTCCCCAAGCGCTACAGGAACCTTGTCGGCAACATTGCTCAGTGATCCCCAGGTAATTTTGTACTTTCAGGAGAACTTTTTTTTAAACTAACCTAACTTACACACACATCATTGGAAACTGATACAGTAGTCTAAACTAATGTATGCCATAGTCACTGGGGTTGAAAGCAGTAACAGTGCCAGATAAGCCAATAAATAAACTATAAAGACAATCTTCCCATCCGTCGTATCTACAGGCACTTGCAGCCTTACTATACCTCTACCAGGGACACATGAATATCAGCTTAAGTACTAACTGCTGTTCAGTACGAAGTCATAATCAAATAATCTATCAACCATTTGGAGTGAAATGCTCAATCACGCCCTTGGTATATTCTACAAACAGTCTGAATCACTCAACTTCCAAATTTAAATTTGAAAGAGCACTAGAGGGACGGTATATCATGACAAGCAGTTCCTACAAGTTGTTGAATATCTCTACTGCCAAGAGTGCACTACTGGCATAAAACTAGTTCCAAAGCTCAATAGGTAATACTAACTTATGCAATGATTGTAGGTTAAAGTACTATGCAATGCATTGGTACTGACAATGAAAGTTTAAAGAACAAAAATCAGCACGCCACTTCTGAACAGTGTCTTATTTGAGGACTAATTTCCATGCACTAATCCCTCAAGTGCTCTGACCTGGACACTTTCCATAACTGTAGAACATAACAAAAAAGTGTATAATACAAATGTATACATCAATAAAATCAGGGCTATATTGCTATATACTCTCTTCTAATAAATCTGTGCGCAACTTACACTCATTGCAAATATTTAAAATATGAAAAAAAGAAGAAGAAAAAGAAGAAAAAATAACTAGATAAATAAAAAAAAAATTATGAAGTTCACAGTTGACTGCATCTTCTTCAATCAAATACTCTGAAAATGAACCTAACTTACACACACATCATTGGAAACTGATACAGTAGTCTAAACTAATGTATGCCATAGTCACTGGGGTTGAAAGCAGTAACAGTGCCAGATAAGCCAATAAATAAACTATAAAGACAATCTTCCCATCCGTCGTATCTACAGGCACTTGCAGCCTTACTATACCTCTACCAGGGACACATGAATATCAGCTTAAGTACTAACTGCTGTTCAGTACGAAGTCATAATCAAATAATCTATCAACCATTTGGAGTGAAATGCTCAATCACGCCCTTGGTATATTCTACAAACAGTCTGAATCACTCAACTTCCAAATTTAAATTTGAAAGAGCACTAGAGGGACGGTATATCATGACAAGCAGTTCCTACAAGTTGTTGAATATCTCTACTGCCAAGAGTGCACTACTGGCATAAAACTAGTTCCAAAGCTCAATAGGTAATACTAACTTATGCAATGATTGTAGGTTAAAGTACTATGCAATGCATTGGTACTGACATCAATCAAATACTCTGAAAATTTGCTGGATCTGATTTTCACATCTTTGACCATGAAAAACGAGGAAAAGAAAACAAGAAAGAAAGAGATCAAGAAAGCTAAGAAAAAGTAAATGATAATACCCACAAGTAGTAATATGGAAAAAAATAATAAAAAAAAAATAAAAATAAACATTTTGTGTATATAGTTTTGAAAGTTACAGGTAATTACTGTAGGTGCTATATACTTCTCCAAGTTTACATAGAAAAGACTAAGAAAATATGATTCTTCGAGGCCTAGATTATCCTGACACATTAGTATAATTATTTTGATAAAGGACTGAGTAAAGTACTGTACTCCATTCCTAATCAATATATAAACTAATCATTATATAATACATTCATGTACACAAATTTCACTCAATAACCAGTTCCTTTTGATTACTTTTGATATTACTTGAGACAGATCTTTTCATCTATTTTGTTTCAACCATAACAAATTTACAGTAAAAGGCAACAGTTCATAATAACTATGATGTTACTTCTTTGTGTGTGCAAGTTACAAAAAGGGGGATTCATTTGTAATTTAGAAAACTAAAAATCAAATTTTCCTTCTATATTAAGACAGAATAAATAACATATTTTAAACAAAAATCAAACAAATATACAGATGAGATAAATAATGTGAATCTGGCATAATATGATCAGTTACAAGGCTTTCTGGTACTTATTATTACAGAACTCTACCCGCTACAATAGTAAAATCTATGAATAAATAAGATGGCATGATATCTACAGCAATATACATCTCTGACAATAGAGGACACATGAGTTTTCCCTTTTTATATAACATATTTGCTTTTATTTTTATTTTTTTGTTTTATGTTTTTTTTTTATTATTTTTTTTTAACTTTTTTATCCTGACTAAGCATTATTTCAAGTGGCTTAGCCCAGGTTTGATCCTTTCATAAGAACTGGGTGTTTCTTCTTGAGATGGTTTTGATATTTACAATGGTATCAAGATGTCACACAAAATACTTAGGGGTGTTTGTATCTAAGGCATTTAAATGCATATCATCATATACTTTTCGGAGCTCACTGTGATCATCTTCCAAGCATATGTATTTGCTAATAAGGTCAGTATTCACTTCAACTCTTTTAACTACTACTTAAAGGAACACAAGAGGAAAAATAAGAGAGACTGGATTCCTCTCAACATTATTTGTGCATCCCTGACTGTGACATCCCAGCCATGATCGATCCAAGAAGATCACATGCTTGGGAGCCTGTGGTAGGCTTGTTTGGCATCTTCGGCCGATTTCCAGCTGCCCCAGGAACAGTTGGGGTCTTCACTTTTGCAGATCCAACTGCCTTATCAAGAGTTCCATTCTCTTTCTTAATTTGACTATGATCAAGGCTGTATGGCTGTAGTGGCAAGAGCTCTCAGCAAAAAGGTAGTTGTCTAAAAGATAAATAAAAGGAAAAAGTACATACCTGGGAGATTGGGGGTTCATGAAGATCAAGCTGCAACTTTTCCACGATGTCATTGAAATCGTGGGCATCAAAGGCCACTACATCTTTCACGATGCGATTGTGAGTGTATTCAGTTCCACAGTGTACAGCCTTCAACACCCCTGTGAAATGGAATTAAAGAATAATAATGAGAGAATGAAAACTTTTAAGTATTAATAAGCCTAAAAACAAAAATTACAATGTATGATGTCTACACAATACCGATTAAAATCATAATCCAAAGAGGGAGAGAGAGAACCCGTAAAGACAATAACTAAATACTAAAGATATGCAGTATCAAACTAAGATAAAGGATAACTTTATTTTGGTGAGCATACAGAATGCAAACCAAACAACTCACCAACTGCTCCTGTGGTTTTTCTGTCAAGGCCTGCTCCCACATGGTCTGCATGAGCCTTTGTTCTGTCTTCAAACATCATTTCTCTTGCATTGGTAGCACGAGGAAGGTACTGAAGGCGCTGTAGTTCATTGATACCCACCCTACTTAGAAATAATTTTACCATTAATTATTTTGAAGTAATAATTCAATTTGTACTGCTGCCACTACACTGAATCCAAACATTATATATGCTAATTACACAATAACAGAAATTATTGTGGATTTCCTACAATCTATAACATGTATCACATTCTTGCAAAGAACTTATTTCCTTATAAAGCAATGCATAATTATTAAACCAACAATGACGGTACCAGAAACGTCACTCATTCCGGTGACTTCTGGTGGAATTTCTGTCAAACTATTTGCTGGGAGGTCAGCTACACGTAGCGGAACTTCATGCTCAACTCGCTCTAGCATGTAGTGACGCTCATAGCCATGCGAGTGCATACACACATACATACACACACACACACACACACACACACACACACACACACACACACACACACACACACACACACACACACACACACACACAAAAAGACTATATCTCTCTGAAATGAAGAACATTCTGAATTTACAATATCTTTAGACTTAAAATTAAATAACTTCAGTTGGTTCCTAACCTCTTCCGCTTAGCTGGTGATTTGCCAAGCTCTGCTGTTGGAATTAGCTGCTCTCCAGGCCGTATCCATAATATAGGGCCATCATTACTCTGCTGTGGGGATGTCATTTTCACGATAGACATGGGGCCCCATGGCATTGCCTGCAGAATAGAAATGAAAAATATGAAAAACCCACCAGAAAAAGAGAAAGACAATCAAGAAAAAATAAGATCCACTGATATTAGGATTTTAAGATAACCAATATACAGATAGTCCCCTACTTAAGAACATTCTACTTATGAACATTCCATACATACAAACAAAATTTTTTAAGTACTAAAGGCCAAAAAAATTGTTTGAAAGATGCTAGCAAACTTCAAATTACCCAGACGTGAATATAGTTCAAGAGTCTGGTACTGTAAAAGGTATGTTGTACTTATTGGGATTTATTTACAGGTATTCTTAATATAAACAAAACTTTAAAACAATGGGAAAAAAGGTAATGGCGACCTGACTTTCGACATACAAACAAATCAACTTACAAACAGCCTCTCGGTCCCCATTATGTTCATAAGTTGGGGACTTACTGTATGACCAATTATCTTCTTGGAAGACAATGAAACTTACCCTTCTTAGGAATGGATTTTCTTCCATCATGTTCAGAAAATGAGGAAAGTATCCACCAACTTCTTCATGTACTGTTCCAACAATACTAACTTGGTGTAGAGGACCAGCACGGAAGGTACCATTGCAGTAGTTTTTGTACACCTGAAAATGATGGGGTATTATGAGAAACTCATGAATATAAGATATTCCTTTTCCTAGATATCTATATAGCATTCTCTTATTTTTAACTTAGATTATTACCATTGCTGATGTATTTGGTAGTTTATCATGAAATTACACATTTCTTGTCTACTTCTATTACTTAATTTTGTTAATGACAAATGTGCAAAGGCAGAAAGATACCTCAACCATCATACTGTGAGGTGAAAAAACAAACAGATCTTTTCATCTATTTTGTTTCAACCATAACAAATTTACAGTAAAAGGCAACAGTTCATAATAACTATGATGTTACTTCTTTGTGTGTGCAAGTTACAAAAAGGGGGATTCATTTGTAATTTAGAAAACTAAAAATCAAATTTTCCTTCTATATTAAGACAGAATAAATAACATATTTTAAACAAAAATCAAACAAATATACAGATGAGATAAATAATGTGAATCTGGCATAATATGATCAGTTACAAGGCTTTCTGGTACTTATTATTACAGAACTCTACCCGCTACAATAGTAAAATCTATGAATAAATAAGATGGCATGATATCTACAGCAATATACATCTCTGACAATAGAGGACACATGAGTTTTCCCTTTTTATATAACATATTTGCTTTTATTTTTATTTTTTTGTTTTATGTTTTTTTTTTATTATTTTTTTTTAACTTTTTTATCCTGACTAAGCATTATTTCAAGTGGCTTAGCCCAGGTTTGATCCTTTCATAAGAACTGGGTGTTTCTTCTTGAGATGGTTTTGATATTTACAATGGTATCAAGATGTCACACAAAATACTTAGGGGTGTTTGTATCTAAGGCATTTAAATGCATATCATCATATACTTTTCGGAGCTCACTGTGATCATCTTCCAAGCATATGTATTTGCTAATAAGGTCAGTATTCACTTCAACTCTTTTAACTACTACTTAAAGGAACACAAGAGGAAAAATAAGAGAGACTGGATTCCTCTCAACATTATTTGTGCATCCCTGACTGTGACATCCCAGCCATGATCGATCCAAGAAGATCACATGCTTGGGAGCCTGTGGTAGGCTTGTTTGGCATCTTCGGCCGATTTCCAGCTGCCCCAGGAACAGTTGGGGTCTTCACTTTTGCAGATCCAACTGCCTTATCAAGAGTTCCATTCTCTTTCTTAATTTGACTATGATCAAGGCTGCTGCTGCTAGCCTTTTCTGTGGACTCCTGCTTTACCTCAGGCATTTTTTCTGGGGCATCAGGCACAGGACTCTCCAGGGGACAAGTGCTTGCAGCCTCAAGCTCCACCTTTGGTTCTATTTTAGGCTCTTCTCTCACTTCTACCTTGGGTTCTGGTTTGTCTAGTTTGATTTTCTTTGCCTCTGTTTCAAGTGGATCCACTTTTTCTTCCTTCACCTCAGTCACTGGCTCATCCACTGAGGAGTTTGAGTCAAGTCTCAGCCTCTTTTTGATTCTTTCTGCATCTTCCTTCTCTGGTCTCTCTCTCTTCTTGCTCTTGTGCTCACTCCTTCTCTCACCTCTGTGATGATCCTTTTCTTTATGTTTATCCTTATCTCTGTCTTTGTTTTTGTGTTTATGCTTGTGCTTTTCATGTCTCTCCTTCTCACACTTGTCCTTCTTATCATGTTTGTGGCTCTTGTGGTGCTTTGAGGGAGTCGAGGAGACAGAAGAGGATGAGGAGGACTTCTCCTTTTTCTCCATTGAATCCTGCTTTACAGGGGAAACAGAGGGAGAGTTTTCTTTGCTATTGTCTTTTTCTTTTTCCTTCTCTGTACTCTTTGGCTGATAATATTGCTTCAGCTGAACATGCCATGCTGCAACAAAAATGATTAAACATTACTTCACTACACACTCCAAAAGTTAACATACTGACATAATGACAATGAGAAAGATATAAAAGAGCAAGGAACTTTGACCAATGTTAAAATTTTGGAAATATCTCCATACAAGATGGGCAGATATATGAAATCTGAGCAACATAAAAATGCTTGTTATTTCAGACTACTAACTGTGCTGCGGAAATAGTACTCACCAACACTACAAACTGCAGTGACTGTGCGGAACTGATGGATGATATTGCGTGGCAAGAAATAAATATCATTATCACACAGCTGGATTCTGGCAAATCTTATCCCCTCTCGCCTCAACTGGTTCAACTTGGCATCTTCTATCCACTGTACACACTGAAATAGGAGATAAATAAGTTGTATAACTTCTTCTCTTTCAATCAGAAAGTTTAACACCTAATAGATAAGTAAAAGGGAGGGGAATTACAATGAAGAGAGAGAGGATGAATTTTACTCCAGTGAATGTGTGACTGCAACCAGTCTATGGTGTGTATGTGTATGTATTCTTCAGCAAATTATAGCAATGTTTTGTGCATACCCACTACATTTGGTCCTTTCTCCTATCCCAAATGGAGACAGCATTTCTCACTTATCTGATGCCTCCTATGTACGGCTAAAGAGCCAGAGCCCCTTTGTGATTTATCTTTATTGACTTTGGTACCTATATGCAGCAATCTCACTGGCTGCCCAGCCAGCTCAAGCCTACTTCCCACAAACTATGGCCTAACCTAAGGTTCTTCAAACTCTTTTTATCACAAAAGTTTGATTTTGTACAGTAACTTCATAACCCAGTATGTCCATTCTATCATACATTTCTCTCAACTCTCATTCATATTACATATATATATATATATATATATATATATATATATATATATATATATATATATATATATATATATATATATATATATATATATATATATATAATTATCATCACATTTCATCATTATTATGTGGCAACCCACTGAACATGGATTACAACCCTTATTTTGAAGAACCCTGGCCTAAAACTCAAATTACATAAGAAAATCAATTACTTTCCTATCTACTGCATTGAAAAACAAAAGCTATTTATGTAAGAACTGTCTTAAACCATTTATTCTTTTCCATTTATTTTTTTCATGCTCATGTCCACTGTCTTCCAGAGAAGAACAAGTAAGAAGCTGTATGGCTCTCAGCAAAAAGGTAGTTGTCTAAAAGATAAATAAAAGGAAAAAGTACATACCTGGGAGATTGGGGGTTCATGAAGATCAAGCTGCAACTTTTCCACGATGTCATTGAAATCGTGGGCATCAAAGGCCACTACATCTTTCACGATGCGATTGTGAGTGTATTCAGTTCCACAGTGTACAGCCTTCAACACCCCTGTGAAATGGAATTAAAGAATAATAATGAGAGAATGAAAACTTTTAAGTATTAATAAGCCTAAAAACAAAAATTACAATGTATGATGTCTACACAATACCGATTAAAATCATAATCCAAAGAGGGAGAGAGAGATCCCGTAAAGACAATAACTAAATACTAAAGATATGCAGTATCAAACTAAGATAAAGGATAACTTTATTTTGGTGAGCATACAGAATGCAAACCAAACAACTCACCAACTGCTCCTGTGGTTTTTCTGTCAAGGCCTGCTCCCACATGGTCTGCATGAGCCTTTGTTCTGTCTTCAAACATCATTTCTCTTGCATTGGTAGCACGAGGAAGGTACTGAAGGCGCTGTAGTTCATTGATACCCACCCTACTTAGAAATAATTTTACCATTAATTATTTTGAAGTAATAATTCAATTTGTACTGCTGCCACTACACTGAATCCAAACATTATATATGCTAATTACACAATAACAGAAATTATTGTGGATTTCCTACAATCTATAACATGTATCACATTCTTGCAAAGAACTTATTTCCTTATAAAGCAATGCATAATTATTAAACCTACAATGACGGTACCAGAAACGTCACTCATTCCGGTGACTTCTGGTGGAAATTCTGTCAAACTATTTGCTGGGAGGTCAGCTACACGTAGCGGAACTTCATGCTCAACTCGCTCTAGCATGTCGTGACGCTCATAGCCATGCGAGTGCATACACACATACATACACACACACACACACAAAAAAAGACTATATCTCTCTGAAATGAAGAACTTTCTGAATTTACAATATCTTTAGACTTAAAATTAAATAACTTCAGTTGGTTCCTAACCTCTTCCGCTTAGCTGGTGATTTGCCAAGCTCTGCTGTTGGAATTAGCTGCTCTCCAGGCCGTATCCATAATATAGGGCCATCATTACTCTGCTGTGGGGATGTCATTTTCACGATAGACATGGGGCCCCATGGCATTGCCTGCAGAATAGAAATGAAAAATATGAAAAACCCACCAGAAAAAGAGAAAGACAAACAAGAAAAAATAAGATCCACTGATATTAGGATTTTAAGATAACCAATGTACAGATAGTCCCCTACTTAAGAACATTCTACTTATGAACATTCCATACATACAAACAAAATTTTTTAAGTACTAAAGTCCAAAAAATTGTTTGAAAGATGCTAGCAAACTTCAAATTTCCCAGATGCGAATATAGTTCAAGAGTCTGGTACTGTATAAGGTATGTTGTACTTATTGGGATTTATTTACAGGTATTCTTAATATAAACAAAACTTTAAAACAATGGGAAAAAAGGTAATGGCGACCTGACTTTCGACATACAAACAAATCAACTTACAAACAGCCTCTCGGTCCCCATTATGTTCATAAGTTGGGGACTTACTGTATGACCAATTATCTTCTTGGAAGACAATGAAACTTACCCTTCTTAGGAATGGATTTTCTTCCATCATGTTCAGAAAATGAGGAAAGTATCCACCAACTTCTTCATGTACTGTTCCAACAATACTAACTTGGTGTAGAGGACCAGCACGGAAGGTACCATTGCAGTAGTTTTTGTACACCTGAAAATGATGGGGTATTATGAGAAACTCATGAATATAAGATATTCCTTTTCCTAGATATCTATATAGCATTCTCTTATTTTTAACTTAGATTATTACCATTGCTGATGTATTTGGTAGTTTATCATGAAATTACACATTTCTTGTCTGCTTCTATTACTTAATTTTGTTAATGACAAATGTGCAAAGGCAGAAAGATACCTCAACCATCATACTGTGAGGTGAAAAAACAAACAAAAGATCTTTCATCTCGGTGTTCATTATCACTGTCACTCTTGCCCTGGTTTCCCTGAACCCAAACCAATAGGCATGGCATGCAATGTAATGTTTATTAATTGTTTTATACATGGATGGCTCCACTTGTACTAAGTCACCACCAATGACCCAATTATGAGTACTTCTTATATCACCTGTTTACCCTTTTCCTTGAATTTTTAAAATATTTCAAGTTATGTCATACTGCTGTTACTAATATCTAAAATAAAAATAAAAGTTTATCCCACAATTTCAAGGAGAGGTGAAGTCAGGTAAGATAACAAGGTCTACTAATTGACTTATTTGTGGCTAAGCACTTGCAGAGCCATCTATGTGCAGAAACATTTCACAAAAAATTCTAAAATGAGCAAAGTATATTCCTGGTGATATTGGGTTAATACCACCACCTTTACTCAATAAATATCAGTCATAAATGGTTTGTTTGTATTATATATTGTACTACACATAACTACATACCAGGTACAATTTCAGTACTCGATACCCTAAAAAATGTGGCTCTTGGAAAACATGTGGTTTGTATTCCACTAGTGAATATCATGTCTTGTGGACTGACCCATGGGGTTACATACAAACACATGCACGCACGCACATGAATATCAAGTCTTAAGGACTGAGCCCAGGGGTTATATAAATATATAATATAAATATATAAATATATAAACACACACATATACACTCTGTATATGTATGTATTTATTGATGTATATATGTGTATATATACATTCATACATATGTGTATGTGTATATTTATATATACAGAGAAGAGAAAAGAAGAGGAGATGAGAGAGGAGAGAAGAGAAGAGAAGAGAAGAGAAGAGAAGAGAAGAGAAGAGAAGAGGAGAGAGAGAGAGAGAGAGAGAGGAGAGGGAGGGAGAGAGAGAGAATAATAATAATGAAACCTAAAGTAGTGTGTAAACAGGAGAAGGACACACAGGGCAAAATAGACAAAGCAAATAATAATGACAATAAAAAAAATTGTATAACCATCACTTACTTCATCTTTGTATTTTTCCATTGTGTATGTTTCAAGGTCAGAGTTCCGTCCAATGTGGCCTATGACACCAGCCTTCACTATGAGATTTGAATGTTTCTCTGCCATATAATCAAGAAGGTCTGGCATATATTTTGCTGAATTGTGAACAATGCCACACACATGATAGGCATAACCGTCATCATCTTCAGCAAATACTACCTGAAAACACACATACAAACAATAATGAAATATTAACTTTCTTAAAAATGTCTGATACTTAAAAAGTACAACAGTAGTGAAAAACAGTTACACATATACATTTCTAATCTATTTTATCAAATATAAATACTAACAATTTCCATGCTGATTCAGAGCAACTACAATCACAAATTACTTTATCAACTGTAAATATGTAATGCAAATTTGCTCACGTAAAATGTCCACACACTATGAAATATCTAGCAAAGTATAAGTATTATTGCTTACTGTTCATTCTCCCCAAAATGATACAGATATTTACAAGACCACTATGAAAAATTCAAAATGCTCTAAATATTTCTGATTTTTTTCTCAAGATAACTAAACACCAAGAAGGCAACAACTAAAGCTGTTGTTGATATTTGCAAATCTGTTATTTGCAACTTGTGGTTGCCACAAACAAAATTCTGCAATTTCTGCACCTGATTCTAATGATTTTGTGTTTTTCAAAATGATGGGAACCAAAATTTGCTACAACTAAAGTTCTGTAACTGGAGCTTATATAAATAAATTTCTTACAAATAGGCTAATTCTAAGCCTCACTATAGACCCACAGAAAATTATGCTTTGCTTTGTAACATCTGCATTGACATTCAGCTTAAACTTGAAAAGAAGTTAATTTTTAAAAAAGAATGATTTCAACCTTGTAGTTGATACTGAATCTCTGAAAGGGCAGTGTGAAAGCCAAGTAGCTTTCGTATCTTCACACTGCACTTAGAATTTTCTTTACCTTTATACTGACCTAAATAGTTAATTTGTAAAAATTACTAAGGGCTCCTAATCACACATGATGAATTAAGAACTTTGTGTGACTGGTCTGGTCTCTCAGGGACAAGCTGATTGATCGAAACTGAGGACAGCCATGCTAGGTCAGCTGTTGGTCATAGCATATTTAAACCTTGATACTTTTTTATAATCTTCCTTGATTATGTATGAACATGATGAAGAATTAACTTTACAATGATAGAGCAGTGATTCACATGAAATGCTGATCAACACAATCAGTCACATGTAAGTGTACAGATAAATGATCCAGAAACTCTAACACATCACATAAATTTTGAGGAGCGAAAGTTAATAACAAAAATATAAATGCTACAGCAAGCTAACTATGGGTGACCAACAGAGTCTGTCCCTAGTATTATTAAATATCATCTCTTTCATCCTTTGAATACGTCACTTTCACAAACTTAATCTCGTATTGGGATGCAGCTTGACACCTTCCGGACGGGTCACGCCCTGAGGCGTTATAACAAACTGTTGTGCGGCAGTATGCTACAAGCTGGTGATTCGGCTTGATGTACCAAACTCCCCCACTCAAAGTCGGCTTGTTGCCATTGATCTCCAGAGCGTAGAGTTTTTTTTATATATATATATAACTTTCTTCACCCATCATTATGGGGTTAATTAACACAACACTGACCGGGTGAAGAAAATTAATAAGAATTCTAAAGTCTGGAGATTGGTGGCAACAAGCAGACATTGGGAAAAAAAAAAAAAAAAAAAAAAAAAAAAAAAAAAAAAAAAAAAAAAAAAAAAAAAAAAAAAAAAAAAAAAAAAAAAAAAAAAAAAAAAAAAAAAAAAAAAAAAAAAAAAAAAAAAAAAAAAAAAAAAAAAAAAAAAAAAAAAAAAAAAAAAAAAAAAAAAAAAAAAAAAAAAAAAAAAAAAAAAAAAAAAAAAAAAAAAAAAAAAAAAAAAAAAAAAAAAAAAAAAAAAAAAAAAAAAAAAAAAAAAAAAAAAAAAAAAAAAAAAAAAAAAAAAAAAAAAAAAAAAAAAAAAAAAAAAAAAAAAAAAAAAAAAAAAAAAAAAAAAAAAAAAAAAAAAAAAAAAAAAAAAAAAAAAAAAAAAAAAAAAAAAAAAAAAAAAAAAAAAAAAAAAAAAAAAAAAAAAAAAAAAAAAAAAAAAAAAAAAAAAAAAAAAAAAAAAAAAAAAAAAAAAAAAAAAAAAAAAAAAAAAAAAAAAAAAAAAAAAAAAAAAAAAAAAAAAAAAAAAAAAAAAAAAAAAAAAAAAAAAAAAAAAAAAAAAAAAAAAAAAAAAAAAAAAAAAAAAAAAAAAAAAAAAAAAAAAAAAAAAAAAAAAAAAAAAAAAAAAAAAAAAAAAAAAAAAAAAAAAAAAAAAAAAAAAAAAAAAAAAAAAAAAAAAAAAAAAAAAAAAAAAAAAAAAAAAAAAAAAAAAAAAAAAAAAAAATGATTTCAACCTTGTAGTTGATACTGAATCACTGAAAGGGCAGTGTGAAAGCCAAGTATCTTTCGTATCTTCACACTGCACTTAGAATTTTCTTTACCTTTATACTGACCTAAATGGTTAATTTGTAAAAATTACTAAGGGCTCCTAATCATACATGATGAATTAAGAACTTTGTGTGACTGGTCTGGTCTCTCAGGGACGAGCTGATTGATCAAGACTGAGGACATCCATGCTAGGTCAGCTGTTGGTCATAGCATATTTAAACCTTGATACTTTTCTATAATCTTTCTTGATTATGTGTGAACATGATGAAGAATTAACTTTACAATGATAGAGCAGTGATTCACATGAAATGCTGACGAACACAATCAGTCACATGTAAGTGTACAGATAAATGATCCAGAAACTCTAACACATCACATAAACTCATAAAAATTAATGTATTATTTTGAGAAGCGAAAGTTAATAACAAAAATATAAATGCTACAGCAAGCTAACTATGGGTGACCAACAAAGTCGGTCCCTAGTATTATTAAATATCATCTCTTTCATCCTTTGAATATGTCACTTTCACAAACTTAATCTCGTATTGGGATGCAGCTTGACACCTTCTGGACGGGTCACGCCCTGAGGCGTTATAACAAACCGTTGTGCGGCTGTATGCTACGAGCTGGTGATTCGGTTTGATGTACCTAACTCCCCCGCTCAAAGTCGGCTTGTTGCCATTGATCTCCAGAGCGTAGAGTTTTTTTTATATATATATATAGCAAGCATTGGGCGCGGGAGTCCACTACATCAAGTCAAATGTCTGTCTCTAAGCGATCTGGCACGTCACCATGGTGTACAGCCATACCCCACAGACTGAGCAGTTTGTTATGACGTCGAAAGACATGGACCGTCAGCAGCGGGTTAAAACATCTAGACATGGTGTGGGTAAAATTACCCACTACTGCTGGATCATGTGTACAGCCATCATAACAAAACACTTGATTTGCCGGGTACGGCTATATACGTGGTAATGTGCTAGAGCGCATCGAGTGGGAAGTTCTGTTACATGAAGCAGACTCCCATTCCCAGCAGCAGGATGGTTGCCAGAAATCACGGGAGTCTAAGAAGCAAGAGGTTTCTAATACCATCACTAATGGATTAAGGGTATAGAACTATAGCTTGACTATGGCCCCATTCTAGATACTTTCAGGTACCAACTTTCTTTGTCTCTGGATATCTGTTTAACAATAACTAGGAAAACCTATAAATAAATTATTTTTGTACCAAACGACAGTGGCTTAGGGCATATCTTAAAATACCATGTCAGTAGACACTTAAGCATCAATCACACTAGCAGTTTTCCCATCAATTTTGAGTTTCCATATAAACTTTTCTCAGATGGTCCAGTCCAGTGCTATCATACTGGCAGAGAATCACTGTTCCCATATAAAATACACAGATATATACTTGGAAACAAAAACAAAAACAAAGACACACACACACACACACATGTCCATATACACAGACAGACACACAGACAAATACACAAAAAAAAGTTTGATCCCAGAAATCACACAGGTATCTTACTAAATAAAGCATTATTCCAAATATATATTATTATGTAAGAGGACTACTTCATCATAAGAAGAAATATTCTGTGATAATGGGTTATATTTACATGAACCTTTTTAAATATCTTTTTAATTAGTAAAAGCAATCTAGTGATATAGATTCTCTAAAACACAAGATCAAAATGGAAATTAGTCAAACAGAAATGGTTATTACCATTTTTGTCTGGATGGTGTTTTGCAAGCATGTGATAACCTTTAAAACGATAGAAATGCAAAAATTGACAGAAAAAATGCTTATGTGAAAAGACGTTCCAGAAGTTTTTAATATGGCTTTCTAAAATAACAGTATAATTTTCTCTCCACCACATGTATTCTTAGTAAGGATACTTAATATCAACTAGCATATTTGTGAATGAGTCTACCCTATCCCCAAACATACATACACATTTCAGCATTATTCTATAATACATAGTATGTAAGAGTACTATTTCCGAAAACGAAATATTCTGTGATAACAGGTTCATAGTTATATTTACTTTTTAAATTTCTCTGTAAAAATAGTCTAATAACATAGATCCTCCATAACACACAATCAAAATGGAAATTAGTCAAACAAAAATCATCTTTGTCTGGATGGTATTTTGCAAGTATTCAAATTGACAGAAAAAATGCTAGTGTGAAAGGGATTTCCAGAAGTTATTAATATGGCTTTTTAATTTTCTCTCCATCATATGAATTCTTTGTGAGAATACTAAATATCAACTGCAATATAAATTTTGAGATAAGCACAAACATACATATACATTTCAACTTACCTCTAAGAACTCTACTGCTAACTCTTCCTGTTCTTCCTTGGTAAGGCTATCAATTTCATCTTGATACATGTGAACCACAGTTGCATCTCCATTAGGATACGTTTCTATGTGCATATATTGGGCATATTTGTACTTTTCCAAACCTGGTTGACCAGTGCATGGTGGCCTGGGCAAAGATACATGTTTGGATCCAAAGTCAACTTTGGGGAAAACAGGCTTGAGTGTAGAAGAAGATGTGTAAGATGATGATGAGGTTGAGGAAGTCTTTGAATCACTTTTGTCTCTTCTGCACTGCACACCAATGTTATATCTCTTGATTTTGCTCCTTTTGTGGCATTTGACACATTCATACTTCTTACTACTTGATGATGAAGTTGACGAGGTCGACTTGTGTCTGTGTGGGGTATCACAGCTTTTGCTCTTTTCTAATTGTTCTGAGCACTTTTCTAATTTTTCTCTAGGCTTTTCCAATTCAGATTGCTTTTCAACACAACTTTTAGGATGTGTAACGTCTGTCACTTTACTTTTATTATTTAACAATTCTGTCACTTTGGTCCCATTTACTGGAAGTTTCACTGAATCCCCTGATGTTGATAATTTTCTCTCAACTTTAGCCTCTTTATCTTTGAAGTCTAATGTCTTCTTTGGCATACAACTGGACTCTTCTTTGACACTTCCTAAACTAGGTAAACTTACTGAGGATTCAGGTTCTTCCTTCTTTGGTGTTGTTGATCGATCTAAGCTCTTTGGTGATTCCGTTTTCTTGGATGATGTTGGAGGTTTTCGAAGGGTTGTAGTTTTAATATAGGATTCTCCTTTTGAGGGTGATAATATTGGATCTTCCTCCTTCACAACTCTTATTTCCTGCTCCTCTTCTGCCTTTATGGGCTTTCCTTGAGGCCCCGTGTAGATTGTGGTATCGCCCTCTTCTGCAAACTTACACAGTTCATCCAGCACTTCACTTTTAAAATCTGGTTTAGGCACATTTTCTGATGTCTTTTCAGTCTCAGGCTCTTCCTTCTTTGTTTCTGCACTTCCTGTAGCTTCCTGTGAGTGTGAATCTACATCAGGATGCTCTGCTTTTACAGTCACTTCAGGCTTATGGTCGGGAGATAAATCACTTCCCTCGTCAAAACCACTCTCAGCAGTATCATGACCCTCCCCACTTGCTGATCTCTCTCGTAGATCATGGCACTCCTCTTCACTAAACCTCCGCAACTTTTCTGCAGAAGGAGGAATTGTGATTTGTCGTGGAGTTACAGGGACAATCACTTCTGATAGAGATGATATGGAAGAGATTGAGGAAATGGATGCTCTAGACTCAGATGACCTTTTTTGTCTAATTACAGGATCAGGCTTCCATCTTGGAACTGGTAAATCCATTGGACTTCTTGGACGAGATCGAGACGGGCTTCTGATTTTTGGTGATTTTGGGCATGAGGATGAGGAAGATGGTGACACAATCTTGGGTCTACCAAGGTGAGTGGGTGACATAATCCCTTGTCTGGGACTCCGATGAGGTGGGGACATTATATCTGTTTTTACAGAATTAGTAGGAGAAAGAATGTCAGGAATTGGCACTCTTGGGGATAAAGCCTCAGTCTTCTGTGGTACCCCCGAGGATGGGGAAGGACTAGGACATGATATTCTTAGTGGCTGGGGTAGGGACGCTACAGGTACTGGTGGACTCCTGGCTCTTAAGGCAGGGATAGGTGCTGGTGATGGAGAACGTGATGATGAAGGTGAACCAAATTGTGGTGAAGGAGATTTTGGACATTCCAAGGGACAGTCAGGTAGCGGTGATGGTGTATCTCTCTCTCTGATATCTTCAGAGAGCCTCTCCTTAGAAGGGCACACAGGATTAGATTTAGATTTGTCACTGGTGTCTAGAGATTCATTTGGTAAAGTTGGTGAACACGTCCTTGGTAATGTCAATAGGTCACTTCTAACAGGAGACAGACAATAGGAATTCTGACGAGAAGGGCTCTGTGGTGATGAAGGAAGAGGAGGTGGTGTTCCTGGAGACATAGGAGGAAGAGGAGGTGTTTCTGGAGACATTGGTGGGGGAGGAGGAGTACTTCCAGGAGACATTGGTGGAGGAGGTGGAGGATTCTCAACAGAGCTTGCAGCAGTTTCTTTTATGCTACCGTGAAAGAGATTACAATCTTCTAATCTGATTGGAGTCTCGTTATACACTTGTGGTGGTGGACTCTCAGGGCCTGAGAGAGGGAGAGGGGGTGTTCTTGGGGGAGGTGGGGGGGTTTCTGGTGATCTTGGGGGAGGGGGAGGGGTTCCTTGAGATCTTGGAGATTGTGGGGACTCCGGGGATCTTGGTGATGCAGGAGACTCGGGTGATACAGATCGTGAAGGGGTGCTGGGCTTGAAGGGAAGCTCCTGTGGCCTTGAAACTGGAGGGGGTGAAGAGTCAGAGCATCTTCTTGCAGGAGATGCAGGATCGGCATGTATAGATGAAGAATATGGCATGGATGGATATGTTCTGGGCGATCTGGATGGAGTGCCTGGGGATCTGTGAGGGGGAGGGGTGCCTGGTGATCTTGGAGGAATACAATTTGAACTTGACATGGGTGGGCTGCCAGGTGGTCTCTGCGACACCGAAACTGACGAGGTAGGAGGAATGGGCGAAGGATCCTGGGGCGAGGCAGGGGAAGATGAATTTCCCAGTCTATGAGGTAACAAAGGTACTCTAGAATCTTCTGTGTAACTCTGATGCGCATTCCTCTCTCTGACATTGTTTCTAGAATATGGAGAGGTCGGTTGTCTTGGGGGTGTGAAAGATAAAGATCCTGATGAATCACCATCTTCTGATGACTCCCGACACTTCCTCTCTGTTATCCGCAGGTCTGGATGAACCGGTGGGGTGTAACTTCTCTCCTGTAACGTAAAACAGTAACACATCTAAACATAAAATACTACATTTGAAAACAATCTTCAGACTTTATAGGTCTACCTAATTTATGAACCATTCATTGAAATCCAATAACATCAAACTGTCATAATGCTACAGGAATAAGTTTGGATGAGCTTCTATAAAACCCAACGAAGAACCTTACCTCAACGGGGTCATGCTCTGGAGTGCCACTGCCACTGCTGCCATTTTCTGTTCTCCATCTGATGTACGTATCCTCAACTCTTTCCTTTTCCTGGCAAATAAAGGAAGTATGAGATAATTGGAGGGCAAAATGGAAGGAAGCATATATATAGTTGCTGTCTGAAAAATACTAGTGCCCAACATTAACCCATGAAAGCATGATACCTTTATACTTTTAAGATTTATTTGAATTTTACAATTATTACTTACTTCAACCTTAGTTTTTCTAACTATCATTTTGAAGATTTATAATGGAGGACTTCACCTTAACCCCTTGCCGCCGGGTGACGGCGATACGCGTGTAAACAAATCGCTCGAAAGCTGGCGTGCGGCCAAACCAGCCGGCGGCGCGCCAAAGCGCGGCGAGCCAGTGATTCGGGCTGACGCCCCGTACTCCGGCGCTCAAAGTCGGCGCGCCGCCTTTGTTTGCCAGAGCGTAGAGTTTTATTTTCCTTTTGTACACCCGGCGTCATTGGGTTAATTAATCATTCAAATGAGTAATGTATACTTCATGCCGACATGGAGAAAAATGAAGGCACACTTATAAACTACTTTGATCCCCTTTCTTTGGAATTTTAAATTCTTTTCCACTCTACCTTTATCCACTGTCTCTACCTATTTCTTTCTCTTATATAATTAGGCTTTCAGAAAGGAACAGGAGCAAATGAATTTGAAACATGGTTTTGGGATCTTTTACAAACAGCAGAGTTATAATGAAATGAAAGCATTAAAAAACTGACTAAACTAAGCACAGAAAATGCCACAAATTTTCTATGGTATTATGGCCAACATAGTACATGGAATGCAAAATCACATTTGGTGCATAGTGGATTACAGGTTCTGCATAAACCAAACCTCTGCTACTTGTTACCCATTAATGCAGTGGTCTTCATTGCGCGGCTCACGAGCCAGTGGCGGCTCGCCAAGACCTGAGTGGCGGCTCGCAAAACAGAGAGAGAGAGAGAAATGACGCTCCTTCCGCACAGGAACTGTACGTGTAGGTTACGTAAAATCCAGTGCTCAGCGACCCATACTTTGCCAGTGTCAAAAATATGTAAAAAATATGTAATTTAGTTTCTGTATATATTTTGTTCTGCTAATACTAATCCTTGTAGCTTACGAGGCATGTGGCTCTCAATCTGAATATGCCCTGAACTTTTGGCTCTCTTGAAAAAATTAGTGAATAACACTGCATTAATGTATCATAACCAATTCCACAATGACCGGTAATTTCACAGGTACAGACACATCCCCCTGTTGATCATTACTTTTTTTTTGCATGTACTAGTTATTATTATTTCATAGTCTCTTTTGTTAGTTACAAAATACATTACTGTTACCATTCCATTGGCATATTACCTATGTATTTTTGACCAAGAGATTAAAATTATAAACTTAGGCCTACATAAGTAAAGATAAGTAATAACAGAAGTATGTTTGTGTGTATGTATGTATTTCTCTCACACACAAACACACACATACACAGATACTTTTAGTCTAGCACTAGGTGCAATAGTATCCTCATTAACAAACTCATCGTTACAGAATAATGCATCATGCAGTGTAGCATCACAAATATAAAAAATACATTTTTTCCACTAATTGAAATCAGGTAAGGTCACAAGGTTTACTAACTGTCTCCTTTGTGGCTAAGCACTAGCAGAGCCATCTATGTGCTGAGACATTTCACAAAAAAATATAAAAAATGAGTACAGCATTTCCATCATTTTTTATGAATTTTCCCTGATGGCATTGGGTTAAACATCAGTAATGATAGACTAGTGAACATGATTACCATAATGAGTAAAAATTGAAAATAAATACCATCACTGGTCACATAACATGCAGTTCCATGGGGTTTCTTTGAAGGAATTTTTCAATGGCTGTATAATGAACTAAAAAATCTTGTCAATTTCCTTCTTAACAGCAATTAATCTGTGACATTTACCATAAATTATGTCATTACTAATTTAATTCACAAAAATAAGCAGCAAAAGTGGACTTCTATTGTCTACTAGAAAATGTATAATTTTATGCATTTATGTGGTTTAAAAATTGCAAAATTATGCACCTGTGGGTTAAGATAAAGCTTGTTTAATCCAATTTACCAATCAGCCCTAACTCTAATACAAAGCATGAATTATAAAGTTTCACTTGAGTAAATTTTGATTGGAAATATGTAAACACACACGCACACACGTATATTTCACTAACATATCTCAAATTTGAATGTCAGTGGAGCATGGGGAAGAGATTACTATGAATATGTAAATAAAATATAAATATTGATTTATTTTAATCATCTAGATGTATAAACAGTAAAAAGATATGTCTGGAGATAATTTCTTGATAAGTAACAGTACGATGTGTGAAGGTGGAGTGTAGGAGGAAGAAAAGGTCTTGGGTTTAGCCGGAAAAAAAAAACGCCAAACAGTACTACAATTAAAACCTCACATTCAATACATTTCATTCAGAAGAAGACAGAGGTAGGCTATTACAACCCTGACATTGGCTTCTTCAAAGGAGAGCCTAAAGGGGAGTGAGGGTATGGAGAGTAATATTGTGGGTGGCAGAAGGAAACTTGTTAACCCATTGCCGCCGGGGAAAATGAACAAAAAATGGGGAGAATGCAGTACTCATTTTTTATATTTTTGTGAAATATCTCTGTCCATAGATGGCTCTTCTAGACCTGATTTCACCTGTCCTTGAATTGGCGGGAAAAAACGTATTCTTACTAGTGCTATAAATATAGATGGTGTTATTTTTAACAGCAAATTAGGATAACGTTAAATATTTTCGTAAATTGATGAAAAGGGTGAATGGGCGAGACAGGCAGTACTCGTAATTGGCTCATTGGATACTTAGTACAAGTGTAGCCATCTATGTGTAAAGACAATCGAACTTAGTACAAGTGTAGCCATCTATGTGTAAAGACAATCAAACAAGTCGACTCGCATGTATGTACATGCCATCCCTGGCGGCAATGGGTTAAACAGTAGCAGATAAAGTAAAGGACAGTATATATGTAATTCATAATAAAAAGTCTAGGAAAAAATAAATAAATAAATAAAATAAAATAATAAACAAATAATAAGGCAGTTCTTAGTATTATACATGACATATGCTATTGCCTAAACCCTTACTTTTCATCAGAAAATAATATTCCTCTTCTGCACTTAATTCCTCCCTGTTCTTTGCATGGATAACACTGATATTAACCTTTACAGTCCTATCCATCATGATTGTGGCTTTCTGCATAATTTGGAGCCAATACTATTTCCCAAGATAATGCAAGCCCTGTCAAAAATGGCAGTCCTTTCCCCCCCAGGACTTTAACATTATCAATGAGTCATATGTAGTGTCCACCCATATATCAAATAGTGCTGAGCATGTTTCCTCCAGCCATACTAATAATAATATTCCCATATTAGCATTCTCCTTCAAGACCATTCTTTCCATGAGCCATTCTTAAAGTTCTTTTTCCAGCCTCTTTCTTTTTATGAATGGAAGACAATAAATGGATTAATAATTCTGGTACTGTACGGCCTACTTAATTCATACTACATATTAACTCTTGGTATATCATTGTGTTTACTGTCTATATATAAATATAGATATCTTAAAATACAACTAAATATATCTATTTTTTACTGTTTTATATGAAAATATACTTAAATGCATAAATAAATAAATAAATAAATAAATATTTATATATTCTTTTCTTTTCTTCACTTCAAGTTTTATATTCACATATATAGTAATTCAATGGCCTTTTTCATTCAAATGCATGGGGTAACTATGATAACAATTCCAGCTTTTGTGTTCTATTGATGCTCTATGCATTTGACATATGACAATGAAATATAAGTTTGCCTTTGTGAAACTTGAAAATAACTATTTTTTTTCTGCTGCTGGGGGGGTTTGTAGAGTTTATAGAGTTTAACAATTAATCATACAAAATGACTAGTGCACCTGCATTGCTTATTGGCATTATCAAGTTTGAGGCCTTTTTTACCTCTCCTCAAATAAAACCTTTTTGATTATGAATGTTTTCCAAGGTGCTTTTTTACTTTTCTGACTTCATTCATAAACAATAGAATGGCTCTACTGTGTTCATACTACCTTGCAAAGTTTGCCTAAATCTATATAAGATAAATATGAGTCTGTTATATTGAACATATTAATTACATGAAAATCCTCAATCACTGCTGGTTTCTTCAATAGAAACCTGATTGAAAGCGAAGATGAGACGCCTAATGTAAAAGGAGATGATCCTCTCTGATTTACCTGATAATGGCCTGGCCTTCATTCTCATTGTCTCCATTTTCACATAACTGAACATCCATATATTTTTTTTTTTTTTTGTATCATTTGCAGACTATATTTATACAGACTATATGCATGAGCAAACTGGATATTATCATGGATATTACGCTTGATGATGCGGACTCTTATGCCCAATGTCTGGCCATTGCCACAAATCTCTTGAGTTTAAAATTCTCATGGATTTTTATTTTCACCTGTCAACACTAGGTTAACATATTCCTAAGGGATATTGTATAAAGCTGTTTGGTGAATCATTATTCACAGTATTTTTCTGGTTCAGATTAACAACCACTCATCCCATGATTTCACAAGGACTTAGTCACTAAGAAGTCATTGCTATGTCTACCTAATCTCAACTATTCATCCCTTTTTTAAAAATTTGAGAGAGAGAGAGAGAGAGAGAGAGAGAGAGAGAGAGAGAGAGAGAGAGAAAGAGAGAAAGAGAGAGAGAGAGAAAGAGAGAGAGAGAGAAAGAGAGAGAGAGAGAAAGAGAGAACGAAGAGAGAAGAGAGAACGAAGAGAGAAGAGAGAAAAGAAGAGGAGAGGGGAGAAAGGAAATGAGGAGAGAAAGGAGATGTGGAGAGAAGAGAAGAGGAGAGGAGAGAAGAGAGAGGAGAGGGAAATCCTGATCATAATCATTTGCTGAAAAATTCACGGTGATTATTTCAAAATCCTATTTGTTGAAGTGTGCCCCATTTCCATTCCTTTCCAAAGATACAGTCAGATTAAATGATATGGAAAGATATTCTAATAATTTTTTAACACGTCTGGAGGGCTGGCCTGCTCCCTCCCCATACAGGTTAGCCAAAAGCTTTTTCAAGAATGCAAAACTTTAAACTGACTCAACAGATATGGTTAGAAACTTGTGAATATCAGAATCTGACTCTTTTTCACTAGCTATATGGTTTGTTATTTCATATTCAGACATTTGATGATCTTCCTAAATCTCGCTTTAGTTGGATTGAATTAATGTGGACATTATTGCTGCTGGTTTCTGAACAGTCTTAAAATAATATAAATCAAACCAATGACGCCCTGTACTATAGACACGTCATGACCACTGTGATTTTAAATTATCAATTTTGTTTACACATAGATGGGTTACCCAAGAGCGTTGTCATAAAAGAGTCATTTACTAACCCTATCTATCCCACCTACACATCCTTTTCCTTGATATAGAAAAAAAAAAAAAAAAAAAAAAAAAATCTTCTATCTATATAATAATAATAAAAAAATTAATGTCAACAAAAAATTTGCTAATTAGAAACATTTGAAAAATACATCTTCAATGAAAAGTCAGGAGATAAAGTAATCAGGTGATATCTGGTAAGCCTGACTATTTGGTGGATAAGCCCTTTTGGAACTATCTATGTGTAAAGAAAAATCATAATTCATTTTGGAACCGTCTATGTGTAAGCAAATTTATGTGAAAACAAAATTCATAAATGAAAACTGCAATGGATTGTGCAATAACCTGGTATCAATGGTGGATTAATTGTGATAATTTCACTCACTGTAAAGAACAAAATTTACCAATAATAAATATTTCGGCAATATGTTGACAATATAACTATCTCCTGACAATGTTTACATCAGAAAACACAAGAACAAATAAAATATACACATAAAAGAACGGCTCTATAAACTCTTGTGCGTAATGTTGGGGAAATAGCCAATAAATCATAGAACTTGAATTGCGATCTGTTCGCTACAAAACAGAATGAGGAAGCTTTACCGATATTCACCTTCTAAAATGCTAGATCAAATTTCTTACAACTCATTTTCTGTGACTTGGTCCCTTGGTTTTATCTGCCATCTATCAAATAACATGCTATATATTAAGAAAAACTACTTCTATTATCCTCAAAAGGCAAACATTTACTATTGTTGGCACTGCAGTAAGATAAATTGAATATGTCTGTTCTTTTCTAAATAAGATCCCATGCCCTTGAAACTGGAAATAACTTTGAAAAAAACATTAAATATATGTCAATCCCACTTCAAGGAGGTTTCCCCCCTTAGATTACATCTGGTCCTAAGAAAAGCTTTTTGTTTATCACCCTAGATACAGGGTCAAACCTTATATGTAAGATTAGAAAAAAATAATGTTGATAATTTTCTTTGCCATCTCTTCCTACTGACAGCTACAGACAAAAATGCTTTGTTAAATAACAGTTCTTTTTAAAAATAATACTTCAGATACTGACTGAGGTACGTTTGCTACTATTTGTTTCACCGTGACCGTATATAACCGGCAAGCTTTTCCTTACTTGTCTGAGATGTCTATATATCCTACTAGTAATGTCTTTTCATTCATTCATACATTCATAAAAAAAATAAAACAATTACATGTTTTCTATGAAATTAAGTGCAACTTAAAAATAATCCTAACCCAACACATACATAACAAAAAAGGATAATATCAACACACAAGACTAATTTTTTACGTAATCAGTGTAAGCCCATAATAAAAGCTATGGATAAACAAAATCACAAAGGCATCCTTACTCTGTATCTATGCTTTTTATGGTGGGATCTTTCTCTGTCTCTCTCTTTATGCTTTTTCTTCTTGTGGTGGTGATTGTGATGGTGGTCTCTATGGTGGTGATCGCGATGGTGGTAATGGTGGTGGTGGTGGTGATCACTTGTATCTAGTGGGCCGGACTCTGCACTGCATAAGGGAGGGTCTGAAAAGAGAGAGATTGCAATTACCACCTGCCAAGCAATATTCATGTACAGCATATGCAACCAACAATTTCAAGGGCACAATCTATTGTACAATTCTTGAGAGAGAAAATTCTACCACACTGAGTATGAGGGGTGCATAATATAATATAAACTTTCGAAATCAGAAAGGTTTTATATAAAAATAATACATTATGAATCAGCTCACTTTCCAAGGTACAGAGTTTTATAAGATTAAAGACTACCAATGTAACATCAATCTCATATATAAGTTGTAATATTCTTTTGCATCAATTTGTCTCATGTTCATATCAACCAGAAGATTGCAAATTAGATTACAAAGTGGAAGACATAGTTATATAAACTGGGTAAGGTCACCAAAAAACTATGTGCATTTCATGGCTTTTTGATCACACACACCTATCCATATGTTAATAGAATAGTCCTGGTAATATCAGATTATTTTATGATCAAATCATTTTATTTTCTGTTAAACCAAATCCAACGGGTATGGCATGTATGTACATGCCATGTCCACTATGAGTTTATTTTATAAATTGTTTTTACACATAGATGGCAACACTTGTACTAAGTAATCAATGAGCCAATTACGAGTACTGCCTGTCTCCCTCATTTACCCTTTTCCTTGACTTATGAAAATATTTTACATTATCTTATTTGTTATGAATATCTATAATACTTCATCAAGGTCATATCACACTACGGTAAAGAATTGTGGTGAAAGAGATTTAAAGGAGTTCTTTATAAGAAAATATCTTGGGTTTCAGGTCATGGTATTATAAGAAAGTATGGTAGTGAACAGGGTAGAAAGAGGGGAAGTAAGTAGGGTAGGATAGGGATTGACAGAAGGGGGAAATGTTAAGGGCAAAGGGTGATTGGATCTAATGAAGGATATTTACGTATCTGAGGAAGGAGAACAGGTTGTCAATTGAAAAGGCAGGGGACTCTGTGAGGATGTCTGACAGGTTGGTGGGCTGGGGAGGAAAGGACAAGTAAGGAAAAGCAAGGGTATGGGCTTCAGTAAAGCAAGGGCAGGATAGTAGGATAAGTGGGACTGAAAGAGGAATATTGCATTAGGAGCATAAGAGGTGGGTTAGAGCGTGACACGAGGTATAAGTGAGCGAGGCGGGTATGACCTATTCGTAAACAGGCAAGGGCAGTTTCCCAGCATTTGTTCTGGTGGTATGGTGCTGACCAAGGAGAGATGGAAAGTTTTATGGCTTGTAGATTACTGGTGCTCAGACCTGATGGTTATAGAGGAAAGTTTTCAAGTGGGGGTAGCACACACACACACACACACACACACACACACACACACACACACACACACACACACACACACACACACACACACACACACACACACACACACACACACACACACACACACACACACACACACACACACACACACACACACACACACACACACACACACACACACACACACACACACACACACACACACACACACACACACACACACACACACACACACACACACACACACACACACACACACACACACACACACACACACACACACACACACACACACACACACACACACACACACACACACACACACACACACACACACACACACACACACACACACACACACACACACACACACACACACACACACACACACACACACACACACACACACACACACACACACACACACACACACACACACACACACACACACACACACACACACACACACACACACACACACACACACACACACACACACACACACACACACACACACACACACACACACACACACACACACACACACACACACACACACACACACACACACACACACACACACACACACACACACACACACACACACACACACACACACACACACACACACACACACACACACACACACACACACACACACACACACACACACACACACACACACACACACACACACACACACACACACACACACACACACACACACACACACACACACACACACACACACACACACACACACACACACACACACACACACACACACACACACACACACACACACACACACACACACACACACACACACACACACACACACACACACACACACACACACACACACACACACACACACACACACACACACACACACACACACACACACACACACACACACACACACACACACACACACACACACACACACACACACACACACACACACACACACACACACACACACACACACACACACACACACACACACACACACACACACACACACACACACACACACACACACACACACACACACACACACACACACACACACACACACACACACACACACACACACACACACACACACACACACACACACACACACACACACACACACACACACACACACACACACACACACACACACACACACACACACACACACACACACACACACACACACACACACACACA